ATACCTATTTGTTATTTTATTGTATGTCTTTTCTATTCCTAAATGACCACCGCCTTGAGGGTAATCGTGATATAAGTAAAGCACTTCAAGTATTTTAATAATAGGCAAACATAAAACTAGTTTAGGTTCACTACCTTTTGTTAATTTCTTATATAATACATTATTATTTAAAGTGTAAGTTTTACATAAGGTTGTATTAATTTCTCTTTTGAGAGTTTTATAAATAGATGACCAGTAATAGTCATTCTTTTGCATTTCAGCCATTTCAATATCTGGAATTGAATACATATCTGGGACTACTCTCAAGCTATGACAATGCATGTCTAGATTGTCTTCTAATATCTCTGCTTGGTTGACCGGATGTCTAGACAAAGCATCCGCTACTTTATTCAGTGACCCTTTTCTATATTCTATTGTGTAATCAAACTCAGACATATGCAGTGCCCAGCGCTCAAGTCGACTGTTGAGACTTTTCTTTTCTTTAAGCCATTTCAATGCTAAACAGTCTGTAACTATTTTGAATGTTATACCCATTAAATATATGTGACATTTTTGTGTGGTTTTTATGATCGCTAAGCATTCTATCTCAGGTATACTGTAATTTTTTTTAGAGTTATGCAGTAGCCAACTCTGATGACAAAATGGCTTTAATTTATTGTCGATTTTATGATACAATGTACCCGCAATACCAATAAGACTACCATCTGTGTGAACTTCAATAGGGAGTTTATTGTTAAAATGCACTAAAATAGGAGCATTGCATAACAAGTTTTTGAGGTTTTCAAAGGCTAACTGTTGTTCGGGTCCCCAATAGAATACTCTCCCTATATCACACTTTCTCACTCTAATGTGGGATACCGGAGTATTTATATCTTTATCGCGGACTTTCTTTGTTAAACGCGTGAGGGGCTCTGCTATTTTTGCAAAATCCTTTATTGATCGCCTATAAAATCCGGCAAAACCTATGAATGACCTAATCTCTTTTATAGTGTTAGGTCTTGGGTATTGTGCGACACATTTGACCTTTTCTGGGTCTGTCTGTATACCATCTGCTGATATTACATAACCTAAGAACCCGATACTTAATTGCCCAAAATAACATTTAGTGGGCTTCAATGTGACACCAGATGTTCGTAAACATTCAAAAATTTTATTTAAATGATTTAAATGCTCTTCAAAGGTCTCTGAGAAAATTACACCATCATCAAAGTAAACTATAATAATTTTTCCCACTAGTTGACCATAAATTTTATGCATAGCTCGCATAAAAAAACTCGGTGCTTGCTTTATACCAAATGGTAATCTATTGAATGTATACAAGCCGTCCTCCGTCCTGAATGCTAGCATTTCTTTAATGGTTGGTTCTACTTCGAACTGCATGTAACCGTTATTTTGATCTATTATAGTAAAATATTTCGCTTTATTAAAAGACCTTAGACACGACTGGACATCTGGTATGGGAAATACATCATCAACTGTTATATCGTTTAGTTTTCTATAGTCTACACATAATCTCTTTTCTGGGTTTCCTTTAGAATCTAATGATTTTTTATTTATTAATACAACTGGAAAGCCGTAAGGACTGCTACAGGGCTCTACTATTTTTTGATCCACCCAATTATTTATTATGTCATTTATTATATTTTTGTTATATTCGCAATACGGACTTGGTGTCATTTTTATAGGATTTTGGTTAATGTCTTTAAGTTTGAGAGGGAATTTAGCTATTTTGCATAAACCTAACTTATTTTTATCAAAGGCAAATATGTCTATGTAAGACTCTAATAATTCATTAAGTTTTATCTGTTGTGACATGGTTAGATCAGTACCTATATTGAAATTTGAATTTATTCCCTTATCTTTGTTTTTCAATATACCTCTTATGGGTTTAAGTGTTTGATTAAGATGGTCATTAATTAGATAATCAAAATGTTTGCGCTCTTTATCAACCACGTGTCTATAGATTTCGTTTGTATAATATACCTCCTTATAGGGACATTCGTTAATGACGTGATTTACTGAATTACAGTAATAACAATCAAATGGTTTTAATGTCGTATTAGATGCTTTTGCTTTTGATTTATACGTATTGTTTACAGTATTTTCAAAATTAATTTCTGAATCATTTTCGAGACAACAATTCATATAGAACTCATCGCGTGAGTTATCCGTATTTGTATAATTGATTATATTGTAATTAACAGTATTACCAGTAAGGTCTGATTGATAAGATTTTTCAGAATCATTGTATTGGGTGTCATTATATATACAATTAAATTCCTTTGACAGAGGATTGAACAATTCAGCCCAGGACAGTGTCTTATCGCCACAATTAATTACTAGATTAGCTTTGAGTGCAAAATTATTTCCTAATAATAGTTTGAATGGCAATTCCGTAACTACTGACAATTTTAAACTAATTATTTTGGTAATTTCGCCAATTGATAGCATAACATTTAGGTCTGTTTCTCCGATAACGTCTACCGGTTTACCGTTAACTGCCTTTAAATCTTTTGATTGTTTTCGTCTATATTCGATGTTAAGTTTTTGGCACATTTTATCGCTAATAAGTGATACTTCAGAACCAGTATCTATTAATGCGTTTACAATTTTATTTTGTACACTTACTTCATGACATATTAGATTGTGATTTAGCAATGAATCACTAGAGATTGAATTTAAATCCTGAGTTAAACTATTAACATAACGTCTCTGTGGACATTCTCGCGCGTAGTGACCGACTTTCCCGCAAACATAGCATACAATCTCACCGTTAATCGACCGTGAGTTGCTACGCTGGCGAGCAATGTCAAACTCTACATGTTTGCGTTCGATCGTTTGACTTTCCGTCGCATTGGGATCCGGTCGGGAAAGATCGGTTAGTTCCCGGCTTTTTACATATGGGGAAGATGGAGGTGTTTGTGCTCTCCGTTCATTAGGCCGATTTTCGTTACTACTACCTGGTCTGCTGCTCGAGGATTCCCTACTATTAGGGTTACTGTATCGTCGCTCTTGGGGATTGAATCTACTGTAATTAACATTTTTATTGTTATACTGATCAGTGGGCTGATAGGATCTAAACCGGTCCTTATCCAGACGTGGATTTAATCTACTAAATCTGTTATAATTTGTATTGTTTATACGTTCTATTCGTCTTCCAAATCTATCGTAATTATTATACTGATTATCTCTTGAGTGACTTTGTTTGTTAAGTTTTACTATAACTTCATCTAGTTGTTTACTAAGTTTTCTTATATCATTATTTTGTACACTACGTGAATCCTGTTGTCTATGTGCTTGCAAACCTGATTTAGTTTTGCATTTCTGAATATTTCGCGCATTTTGTCTCAATATTTCTATGTTATTGTTATCAAATTGATAAATCCTATCTTTGATATCATCGATAAAACCCTCACAAATGTAATCAATTTGGTCTGCGACCGGCATTTGTTGTTGATATTCTAGACAATAAAGTAATTTATCTGTAATGTACTGATCAACCTCTTCAATTAAACCTTGTTTTCTGTTTTCCATTTTCTTTCTCAAAGAATGAGATCTATCTCTTGGCAAATGATAATTAATGAACGCTTGGCGCAAATTTGTCCAGTTTGTCGGTGCGGCGTCACCGGCTAACCGGATATATAATTTATACCAATTTTTTGCTTTGCCCGTCAAGAATTGATTAAAATTAAGAAAACGTTTCGCGTCATCCCACCCTTTTAAAGTAGTGGCGTCAACAAAATCGGTGACCCACTCTTCGGCATTGTCATCTATGTCGCCCGAATAACTTGTGATTCGGAGATTACCTAATGTAGACAGACCACCACTGACTACTTCATTAACAACGGCTCGTATATCCTGCATGGATATCGTTTCCTGATTCTCGCTATTTTCGGATCCTATTATAGATAATGGCATCTTTGCTCATATCCTTAATTTTTTTTTTTTGAAATAACAATTTAATGTATCGATATACCTACTCGCAATCAATACTTTACTTAAATTAATTTGTACTTTTTAGTACCGACCACTGTCTACCTACTCGTAGAAACAGTGTTATTTTATTTAGACACAATTAGTGCTTGCGCTATGCTATGCCCACCTCCCCGCAGCTAGCGTTTTATTGGTCTGACGACACCTTCTCGTGTCCTTCTCGCAGTTTATTATATTAATTTAATAATTATTAAATGAAAATTTTGATGATAGTCACTATTTGATGCTATCATACGCTTACCCTCTGGCTGTGGCGTTCCTGTTCGCGTCGTAGACCTACCACTGGTCTTCCTTTGGTGACGGTTGTCCTCCCGAAGTGGTGACGCCTTACGCGTTGACCACTCGTTCTCGAGGTGTCCAATCCCGCCGGAAGGCCAAGTTAAGTTGGTAGGTCTCGGTAGGACCTCCAGATGTAACGTTTATTTATTAAGGGGTTAGTAGTAGTTTAGGTTAGATTGAAAAAATTACACAAATTTAGGGAAATAACTTTATTTTATTATATAACACTATATAAATTATACAGTACAGTTTAAAAGGTAAAAGTAGACTACCCTAAGTGTGTGTGTGTGTATGTATTATATAAGTGTTGGGTTTATATAGATTATCCAATAATATCATAGGTGGGGAGGGGCATAAAGTATATTACAATATCATATACAGTATATGGCAATAAATGTATTAGTCATATACACTTAAAATTACTTTTTCCTTATCTTTCCATTTAATTAAATAAAAGTTTTTTATTTTAATTATGATTCACAAATAATACAGTATATAGTAATTAGAAAACAATACAATCTATTGAAGTATAATTATAATCATAGGATTATGGTTTTATCACAAATAAAGCTTAATTATTAGTTATTTTTCAAAATGTTGTATTATTAATATTATTATTATTATTAGCAATAAATTTTAGTCCTACATTGAATTTTTTTTTTAAATTATACTTAACATTACAATATTTATTAACACAATTAATCTCTAAATTTTTTAATCTTTATAAATTAGACGGGAGTTACCACAGGATATGAGGCCATCGTAGCGATAGCGCACTGATTATGCTTATTGCGAGCCATACGTATGTAACCGTTTTCACCCCAGTGCTGACCCACTGAGTTTTTAACCAACCAATAATCTTGTTTGCTTTTTGTGTCTGTCCCGTAACCAACAACCAACACACAGTGATCTGTTTTAGTCAACTCCGAGTGACAATTCGGATCATCAATTATGCCTCCCTTGTAATACCAGAAACCTTTAGGACATTGTATGCACACAGAAATTGGACCGATAGTGGCGATAGCCTCTTGCAATGCCTGTTCATCGCCCGGTTTGACGATACCATATGAATAAGATTTACCATATATTGCTTTGCCATCGCTATCACATTGTCCTCTTGTATAGTTAACACGGGGTTGATATAAAGCTTCTGTAGTTAAACCCTTAATAAAAATTCATAAATTCAATATTGAATTGTAAGTTATAAACAAAAACATTTACCCCAATAATAGTTATATATTCATATGCCTTATACGGAAAATTAATCCCATATTCAGTGGTGCAGTCAACCACTTGCTGTACCGATAGCGGTACTGTTTTACCAGTATGTATGGCCAGTTGACTTTCAAATGAACCAACAGCCGCGTGTGCCCAACACGAACCGTTTACTATCTGGTCTCTGACTGGTGTTACTATACCAGCCGTACGCCAGTCCACAAAATCGGGTATTTTAGCACCGCTTGAAATATTTGTAATAATATGTGTAGCGATTTGAGGATTACATAAACCGATATTTTGTTGAGTTGTTGTCGGATTAATCTTTTGAAACATTGATTTAATCTCATCTTTTGTCTAACATTTTAAAAAATACAATTTTATAGTTTTTAATAAATAATTAACTACTTTAGCATATTCTGAATAGTCATACCATTAGAATAGAAGCTCCCATTTGAGTTGTGAAAATAAACTTTTATTAAAATTTTATGCTCCGTCAGGTGCTGACCCTGGCGAATTTATCATAAACTAAAAGCCATTTACTGTATATAAGCTATGCATATACTATACAGAATATTAACAGTAATGCTGGTATACTGTATAGTATATCTAATGTATAGGTAGTCTATTTGTACAGTATATATGTATGCGTTGTGGAGAGCAATATTTAGTACGTACTAAAATGTATGCTGCATAACCAATGCATATACTGTACAGTATATCAATAGTATGGATAGTCTGTTTGATTGATATGTATAATATTTAGTACGTACTTAAATGTTTAGTACGTACTAAAATGTATGATACGTAAGCAATGCATATACTGTACTGTATATCAATAGTATGGATAGTCTGTTTGATTGATTGATTGTATAGTGTTGTATGTATATGTGTTGTGAAAAACAATGGATATCAATGATGTTGTTATGTCGTTAAAAATAATTAAATAATATTAAATTTTTTTATTATTTATACCGTTAGAAAGTTATAATTTAGTTTATTAAATATGTATTCAAATAAATGTGATTTTGATCGTAAGTATTTTTTATATTTTTAAATATATATATATATATAAATAACCGAAACAACTAATATTTTATTTTTAAATTAGATGTCAATATTTTGACACATATTGCAAATCAACAGAAAAATGGTCACAAAAATATGTATGAAACCGATACTCAAGAGTCCATGGAAGTGACTAACGATAACGAATAGACAGGCGTTGATTTAGATATATCTGAAGACATATCAACTGAAAACAGTTATCATCAGCCAATTGTACCGTCAATTGATCAACAAAACATGTCCTCAACTCAATCTAATTTGATACCAGTGAGTGAAGTACAACAACAGTTGAGTGAGACAATTGTATACTAAAATGTATGCTACATAAGCAATACATATACAGTACAGTATATCTAACGTATAGATAGTCTATTAGTACAGTATGTATATATATGTTGTGGAGAGCAATGGATTTTTATTCAATGGTACTTTTTAAAAATATATAACTATGCTGTTAGTTAATTAGAAAAAAGTTTATATAATACTTTCTAATATAATTATAATTGATAATAATTTAATTTTAATTATTCTACTTGTATTAGACTAAAATAATAAAATATATTATAATTTAATAATTATTAATCGTTTATAATTAAACTTATTTAAAAAAATTTCATTTTAATTTAATATGTAAAAAATTGTTTTTATATTATCGGATTTAACTAAATATTAATTATACCATATAAGACGATTCAAAAATAATATAACTAAATAAAATTTTAAATGTCATATTTTATATTCATAATTATTTTTATTTAATTCTTAATTTATATTTGACATATTTAGTATATATCATTGATATACTTAAATATAATATGTAATAAACTTTATTTTGTTACAGTTTCTGGTATTTTTTAACAACTAAAATCATTATTTATAATACATATTTAACATGACTCATATGAAACAGTATAATTGTAATAACGTAATAATTTAAATTTATATACAATTATTATATTAAAAATCTTAAAATTATACTAGCAAACTAGCTTAATATCCAAATAATATAACTTCAATATTAAAAAAATTAAAATAAATATTTGTCAGTGATTTTTATTAGACTTTATTTTGTTACAGTTTCTGTTAATTTTTAACTTAATTAAAAATAACATGTATATTTTATTTAAAGAAATAAATAAAATGTGTTCTTATTTATAATATAATTACTAGTAGCTTGAACTGCACTAAAATTTGCTATTAAACAAAATAATAATTTTAACCAATTTAAATATAAAAAGAGATTATATATTATTTTATATTATATTATATATAAATTTATTTTATTAAATATTTTACACTTACAAAAATACGTTTTAAAGGAATAACAAATTAATATTTACATATTTAAATAGATATATTTATATATTTTATGATCTAATTAAATTAAACATAATTTTTATTATCATTTGTATCTTATTTCTGCTAATTATATATGATAATTAAATGTATAATATTTATAAATATTAAATAATATTTATTTTAAAAATTTATAACATTATTAATATAATATCTAATGTAATTGATTAATTTTTTCTAAAAGTTTTTATTTTATTTGTTTTGTTAACAAATAAATGCTTAACAAATTTTGTATAATAATTATTTTGTATAATTAAATATATAATGTTTGATTAAAGTTTACTTGTTATTACTAATTTTTTGATATTACAAAAGCTAGATATACATTTCTATAAATTGTTTTATATAATTGATCATTGTTTTCAATTTAATCAATAATAAAATATGTATATTACTTCAGTAAACTAAATAGACAATTAAATAATGCTAATTATATTTTATCATTTATAATACTAGTATCAAAATGAATAATATATAAAATAATTTCATAAGTACTTGATTATAAATTTTAAAATCTATTTAAATTTTAAATAATACAAAAAAATAATCATTTCTTTTAATTTAATATTTGAAAATTGAAATATTTTATGTAATGAATAATTTTTAACATTTAAAAAATTATATCTAAATTGTAATTTATATTTTTGGTATACAAATTTATTTGACTATGTTTTGATTTATGAATTTAATTATATATTTTTTTAAGTTACAAAAATAATTTTTATTTCTATTTTGTTATAAATTATTATTTGAAAAAACTTCAATTGAATTAATGCTATAATAAAATAATGAGTCATAAAAAACAACAGTAAGTTTTCATATAGGGTTCAGTTGAGCAAATTTTTAAAACATTTATGCAGTAAAATGTTTTAGAATTTTTATACTTTATATATATTACATTTTGGACATAGTTTTCATATTAATACTCAATAGTTTGATTTAAAATGTATATTAATATAAATAAAATAAATAATAATAAAATAAAAACATTTAAAACAATAATACTAATAAATGGCAAAATAAAATTTAAAAAAAATTAATAATTCTATTTAAAAACCATTTGAAAATACTGAGAATGATTGTATAATAAAAATAAAGTCATCCTAAAAATTTTATAACATTTATTGTTAATCAAAATTATCTACAATAGTAATTTTGTTATATTCATAATATTGAATGTCTAAATAATATTTTATAACACTTTATTAAAAATATACATGAATTATAGGGTCAGTTTTAAATCTAATTTTTTTTGTATTTTGTATTTTTTGATTGCATCGATTAAAGTTTAGATTAGTTTTTCTTTTGAAAGCAGATTTTTGAATTTAAAATATTAATTTAATCTATTATATGGTTTTAGAAAACTAAATGAACAAAAAGTAGTAATTAAATAATTTTAATATACATATATAATAATTAGCTAGATATAATGTTTTATTATAATTAGTTAATTATTAAACCTTTTTACAATAAAAAAATAAATTATACTTAAAAAATAACTAAAAACTAGTTAAAATAAAAGTAATAATATTAGTTAATTATATAAACTATAATTCTACTTTGTCAGTATAACAAATTTAATTGATTCTATTGTAAATAAATTTTTAATATTAGATTTGTATTTAGTAAATAAAAAAATTTCAGTAATCTTATATTCTATATTGTATGATATAAATTTTAATATATCATAACTAACTTTAATGCATACCAAATGTTTTATATATTTAATTATTCATTTTAATGTTACATTTTCATTATAGGGTCAATTTTGATTAAAAAATAGTAGATATTGCTTTGTATTTATAATAATTAGTCTACATTATTTAAATTGTATTTGTAACACATATATTATAATTAAATAATTGACAAATTTTCAATGAAAACTTAAATATAAAGAAATTCATTAAAATAAGCTATGACTCATAAAAATTAGTAAATATATATGCATTTAGTTGAGTGAATAAAAAAGTTTAATTGATATGAAATATTATATTAATATAGTGTAGTTTATTTTTATATATTCATACATACTTATTAAATTTATTTATATATTTATTTATAGTTAGTTATTTTATTAAAAAATTGGTATACATAAAAATAAATCCACATAACTGACATTTAATGTATAGAAAAAATCATATATGTAATAAAATAATTTATTTATATCATAAAATAATATTATATCATAAAAATACAAATCATATTTTTATTATAATTTTTCAAAAAACGATCTATACTCAATCTAAATAAAATTTAAAAAAATAAAATTGAAAAATGATTTATATATAAATTAGAAAATTAGTTTATTTATTTATAGGTATTTTCACTTATTTTTTTGGTTTAAAGCTTATAAATTTTATATATTATTTAAAAATAGTTTTTATAATTATTTAGATTTATATGAATTGTATTATAGTTTTTACATTTGTAATTTTATTTTATGAACAATTTAATACAATATATATATTAACTTTTAACTTTTAATTCTGTTTTGATTAAAAAAGTAACTAATTTCTAGTATATTGAAACAACTTATTTTTAGTTATATAATTTAAATTAAACAATAATTTAAGTATTCATTACAGTTTTCAGTATTAATTTATCATATATGTTTAAAATAAAGTTAAATATGTATTTTATATAAAAGTTGAAACAGAATTAATTATTAAAAAAAATTTACATTGATATAATATAGTCAATGTTAGTTAAAGTAATATTATAATATACAATTTATATATTTAATTTGTATATAATTTTGTTTATTATTATTTTTATTAAAAAAGCAAATTATTTGGTATAATAATATTTATAGAACAGATAAATAATTTTGATTGAATAATAAAAATATAGCAATCCTAAAAATATTATAACATTTATTGTTAAACTAAATAAGTTACAAAAGTAATTTTATTATATTCATTTTATTGAATGTTTAAATAATATTATATAACACTATATCAACAAATATACATGAATTATAAGGTCTGTTTTGTATTTAAATTTTTTTGTTAGCATTGATTAAAGTTGTGTTATACATGTTTAATTATATATAATTTTTTCTTTTAAACCATTTTTAGTATTATAATAATAGTTAGTTTTATATTTTATATTTTATTTAGTTAATTTTTAAAGATAATATAATTAAAGCATTAAATAAGTAATTTTACTGAAATTGTTTTTAGTATTGTAAAAAAATTTAAAATAATTATTTAATATAAAATAGATAGTAGTTAGTTAGTAGATATAGCATTGCATTAATAATGATTATTAATCAATACTTTTATTGTATTTGTTTCACATTTAATATAATCTAATAATAGTAAATTTTATTTAAAAACTAAAATATAAAAGGAAAAGCATTAAAATGAACTATTAATCATAAAAATAATTTAATACATATGCATTTAGTTGAGTGTATAATAAAGTTTAATTGATATTAGATATTTTGTTTATTTTTATAAATTATTTAATTAAACTTTATTTAAAAAATTTATGTAGAATTTTTTTTTATAGAAAAATATATATGTAATGAAATAAATCTCTACATCTACATCTATACAACATAACTAGTTATAAATAGTTATAGAAATAATAAATCATAATCAACTTAAAAAGCATTTACCACAAGAAAAATTATAAAATTAAAATAGATATATAAATATATTTATATATATGTGTGAGTTACAAAATCAATTTTTTATTTTAAAAATTAAAATTTTAAATTAAAGTTTATTAAATGTTTTAAAGATTTAAAATAATTTTTTATTTATTTTAATAAAATCTATTTAATTAATTTTTGATTAATTAATATTTGAATATTTAAATGAATATAAAAATTAATTAATTTATTATTGTTAATAAAATAGTCAAATATATAAATGAATACATTATCATTAACTAAAATATATAATAATATTTAAATATACATTGAAATCTATTAATTAAGTTTTATCAAAAAAATTGTTATAAAATAAACTATTAGTAAATATTATGAACTTATAAATACACATTTTTATTTATAATAAATTATTTGAACAATTATAATCAAAACAAAATTATTTATTGCAAACAAAGTTATCAAAATAAATATAATCAAAAATATTTATTTTATTTTAATAATGCAAAAATAATACATTTAATAATCCTATTTATACAAAAAGTAACAAATATATTATAGTTATTTTACCATATAAATTTCTGAGTAATGCATATTGTTTATTTTTATAAAAAATTGTAAAAAATAATGTTTATTTAAGATACAAAAATTAATATAATATTGTTTTAAAAATGTATTTTATGATATTTATTTTATTGCATATAAATTGATAAATATTATTTTTTTACACATTATTTTATATTTATTTGTAAATTTTAATGATTTTAATAATAAAACAACTTGTATCACATATATAAACATAAAATTTTATTTATTTATTTGAAAAATTATAAATTTTATTTTTTACTAAATAAAAAAAATGTAACAAAATAAAAAGTATATTAGTATTAAATTTTAAATAAAGTATATCAATGAAAAAATATTTAAATATTATATAATTTGTATATTAAGATAATTATTTTTTAAGTAAATTTAAGTTAAAAAAATACTAAAATTAAAGTAATAGTTTATTTTAAACTTATATAAAAAATTATTACTTTATTACAATTATACTATGTGCTTATGAGTAATGTGAGTCATGTAATTATAATTGAAATGCCATAAAAGTAAATAATTTATAATAGAAATATAATATATTGGTTTTGATTTAATTTCTAAATGATAGATAAAAGTGATGATAATTATCAAAGTCAGTGCTCTAAAATGATAAATGAATTATGTGATCATTACTGAAACAGAAACCAAAAACTGATTTGATATCCAATACAAAAAAAATTGTAAACATTTTTGTTGATTTTGATTTATCGGATATAGGATTTAATACAAAATCAGTTAATACATCATTTAAGTCATATCAACTGATCTCAAGTCCTAAGCATTACTTGCCTTTAAATTTACTATCAATGTCAAGTCTACTGTTTTCAGATATAAATCTCTCAGATTTAGGAATTTATGGCAAACCAAATACCAATCAAACAGACACTAAAGTTTCGACAACTAACGAGACTAATTTCAAGTGATTTTTCGGAGATCTTTTTTTCTGATCTCATTGCTTATGAAAATGCTGACCAAAAAACAAATCATGCGACAATTGATTTCAACAATTTATCAAAAGAAATGGCATTAGACGACGAGTTATTTAACGATAATATTTAAACTAACTATAAATTTGATTGATTTGAAATCGCTTAGAGAAAATATAACTAATAAATAGATAAATCCGATAAAATTAAATATTAAAATTTATGTATTAAAATTAAAAAAGTGCTAAGAAAAATTAATTCATTTAATTATAAAATTAATTAATATGAAATTTTTTGTTTAAATTTAATTTCATTGTTAAACAAAAATACAACAATAAAATACGATTAATATATCATTAAATTATTATATTTGAGTACTCTTAAGTTATATAATAATTAGTTTATTAACTATCAATTAAAATCATATTTGATTCTATTGTAATATAGATACTATTTTTATAACTAACTAACAGTATAGTTATGTATATAAAAAAATGTACAATAATATTTAGTACGTACTAAACATTTTAGTACGTACTAAAGTATACTCTATTTTAAGAGACATTTGTATACGTACTAAAATGTTTAGTACGTACTAAATATTATACTGCATTAGCCATTCATATACAACATTACGATTTATTTTTGACTACACTAATGCCACCTGGATAAGGCACATGGGAGCATCTATTCTAATGCATATCAGCAAACTTATTGATTGCCATATAATAGGATTCCAGACCTTTACTGTAGCGTTCATTATGTTCATTGATAACTGATTTTTGTTTATTATATATTTTAAAGTGGATCAGCTCGTCATTAACATTATCATAGTGTTTGTTATATTTTTGCTTTACGTAAAGGTATAAAAAAATTAAAAAATATTGTAACAAATTTATTTATTTTTAAATAACAATTATTTTTATATTTACCTTAAAATCAATCCATTCTTTATCATATAAATATGTTTTACCATAGATTACAATACAAATATTTAGCAAAATAATTGCTATTTTAAAGTAAAACATTTTGATTACAATAAAAATATAATTATATAAGTTTTTAATTAAAATGTTATAAAATAAAAAGTGTATTAATACACAAAATACAAAAAAATGTAGAAGAATTAACAAAATGTTATAAAAATAATTTTTATTCTAATATTATATTTAAATAAATATTACAATAATATTAAATCCTGATATTGTATAAGTAAATCAATTAATTATAAACTATTTATTGCAACATTTTTTCTAATTATATGCACATAAAACCAATTTATCATATATCATATTAACTTAACCTAAAAGTACTAAATCATTTTTATCATAATTATGATTAATATTGATTTGCAATATAAAATTAGTTAGAGATACTTTAAAAAGAAAAATTTCTAGAAAATCAGGGAATTTCTAGAAAGTTTCTAAAAATTTTGTTTATGAAATACTAGTGTTAAAATTTAAATATCATGATTTAAATATTATCAGCGCCTATACCGTTACCAACCGTAAGTTACAAAGTAGGCTTTGGGCTGATAAGTCGATATTAATACAATTAATTTAATTTAATTATTTAATTTTAATTTTGTTATATTTAATTTCACCAATTTTTATATAATGTGTCTTTTTCTAAATATATCCAATTGTTAGATTTGTATCATTTAGTTAACTCTAATTATGTTAAATTAATTATTAGTTGTCTAAAAATCTTTAACTATTCAATTGTGTGTTTTATCGATATTTGATATTATTTTTTAAATAAAATCTGAGTTTAAAACTGAAAACATTTGATTACTTATTAATAGTTAAGAGTAAGCCTTAAGTATAACAATGTTTGACTATAATTCTAATAAAAATAAATTGAATATTAAAAAAATATAATAAACCTAAAAATATTTAATAATATTATTTTCAATTCTAATTAGACGGGAGTTACCACAGGATATACGGCCTGAGTAGCGATAGCGCACTGGTTATGCTTATTGCGAGCCATACGTACGTAACCGTCTTCACCCCAGTTCTCACCCGATGAGCTCTTAACCAACCAATAGTTTTGTTTGGTTTTTGTGTCTGTCCCGTAACCAACAACCAACACACAGTGGTCTACTGTAATCAAATCCGATTTACAGTTTGGATCATCAGTTATGCCTCCCTTATAAAACCAGAAACCTTTAGGACATTGTATGCACACAGAAATTGGACCAATTGTGGCGACGGCTTCTTGTAATGCCTGTTCATCGCCTGGTTTTACGACACCAAAAGCGTATGATTTGCCATAAACTTCTTTGCCTTCAATATCACAGTCACCTCTTGTATAGTTAACACGGGGTTGATATAAAGCTTCTGTAGTTAAACCCTAAATAAAATATTAATAAATTATTAATTATTAATAATAATATATTTTTTTAATTAATAACAAATTGAAACAACAAAAACGTTTTCTTCAAAATTAGTTGTATATTCGTATGCCTTATACGTTGTATTAAATCCATATTCAATCGTACAGTCAACCACTTGCGGTACCGATAGCGGCACTGTTTTATCAGTATGTATGACCAGTTGACTTTCAAATGCAACGACAGCCGTTCTCTATTTGGTCTCTCACTGGCGTTACAACACCGGCCGTACGCCAGTCCACAAAATTAGGTATTTTTATACCGCTGGGAGTGGTGTACAAAATATTGGAGTTTTGGGAATTACGTGTTCGACCGTACAATACATTTGTTTTCAAATCATTTATTAGCAAAATTCATTTAATTTCATTTTCTGTCTAATATTTTATTCACAAAATATTATATTTAAAAATTAATTATTATATTATGTATAGATATACCATATCAGCAAACTTATGAATTGCCATATAATAAGACTCTATAGTATAGAGTCTATACCCTTGTTATTGTGTTCATTATGTTTATATATAACTGTTTTGTGTTCATTATATGTCTTAAAGTGTATCAGTTCATCATAAACATTGTCATAATTAGTGTCTTGATTTTCAACTAAAAAAATTATTTTGTCGGTTTAACGCTTATAACTGGGACTTAGTATGTCCACCGAAGTTGACCAGTGGACGCTATTTCCGAAATTTTATTATAACTATAAATAACTATTTGTTAGGTTAGCAACTATAAAAACTTATAAATAACTATTTCAGTTATTTTGAAAAATATAAGCATTAGATTGTAAAATATTGCTCAAATATATGTAAAAACAAAAAATAATAGTTATATAAATTATATAACATGTGTAAACTGTTATCAACTCATATTACTTTTTTAACAATAGAAATAATTAGTTTATTTATATAAATCATTTTTGTAAATATGTGAAAACAAGTGAATTATATATCAGTTGAAATATTTATAAGAAAATAAATAACTATTTCAATAACTATTTGGTTTTTTTGGCAATTATATACAACTATTTAATACAGTTTAAATAACTATTTTAACAACTATTTGACGTTTTTTGGCAACTATTATAACAACTATTTAATAGAGTATAAAAAATTATTAATCAATACACTAGTCATAATGTTTATTATATTTTTACTTTACGGTAAGGTATAAAAAATATTTAAATTGTTTTAACAAATTATATAAATAATATTTAAGTAATAATTATTTTTATATTTACCTTAAAATCAATCCATTCTTTATTATATAAATATGATTTACTATAGATTACAATACAAATATTTAACAAAATTACTGCTATTTTAAATAAAAACATTTCGAAAACAATGGAATTTTAAACTAATTTTATTATTTATTTATGGATTAAATTTATGTTAGGCGTTGTTCACATATTACGTTCTCACTTGAGGGGAGGGGGTTAGCCAAAGCGAACTTTTGTGAACGAGGGGGGGGAGGGGTAGAGACTTTAAGAACGTTCGCATTTAGATAATATCTTATTTCTTGTGGTGGGGGGGGGGGTAGCGGTTAGGGATAAGCGAACGTAATTTTTTTAAATGACTACATGCGAACAATTGCGAACATAGGGGAGGGAGGGGGTCTAGATTTCTTAAAAAGTGCGAACGTAATATGTTAACCACGCCTTATAGAAAAATAAACTATTTTAAAAACCTTATAGTATTAAAAATTACAAGTTATTTAACTAGTTTTGTATTCAATAAATTATATTAATTAATTAATATATGATACTTGTAAATGTTTAAAATTAAAATTTTATCTATCCACTTAAAAGATTAAGTTATTTATTATTAATATATAAATTGTGATTTATAATACTGTATTTAATTATATAAACACCAATAAAATAAATTTATTTAAGTACTTATTTGCAAAAAATAAATAAATTATTCCATCGTTTTTTGATATAGTTAAATAAATCATTTAATTTATTAATAATTTTAAGATATAGTGTAAATAATATTTTTTAAAATCTTTTATTGTATAAAAATTTTAAACATTTATCAAATAAATATTTAGTTATATGTAGTTAATAGTTAACTTTTAATGAGTAATCCTGCAACGACGTCCTGAAACTTTGAAATGGCATTTTCAGTGTTTTCTAAAAACTAAAGCTACTGTATTATTGTGTTTTGTTATTTTCAAATTTTAGTAGCATTTTAAAAAATTAAAATAATAGTTTATCATATTTAATTATCAATACATACTAAGTATAATTACAATAAACTATTGAAAGGCATTATAACCGATGAGATAAAGGATTCAAATATTTTGTAAAATATTTTTTGAATGCAATTATCATTATCTCATATGTCATTAATGTGTTTAATATAGCATAAGCTCTAATAGACTCAATTATATATAGAAATACATTGTTTTTCATAAGAAAGCGCTTCCACTCATTATAGACGGCTTTTCACAGATCTATAGATTCTGTGGTAAAACTTATAAAAACAATTTATTATATTTTTTATTTCATGTTTAATATTAATTTCAAAATATATGATTATATAAAATTTACAAATTTATATAACATTATTGCAATTATATAACAATATATAAATTATAAGAAATAATATTTAAAAAATAAAAAATATATTTTAAAGATTTATTAATTTGATAATCAGAAATATAATTTATTTTTTATTAGTAAATCATATAATATGACAACAATTAATTTGATTTTAACCCTGTACTAGTTTTTTAATACTATTTATAATATTAGATAATACACCAATCGGTAGACATCTGATAACCAATAATTGGATGAGATTAGGTATGAATTGGCCATTTTGTAGTAATTGTGGCAATAGTTTTACGGGATCTAAGGCATTACAACTCATACCCAAACACTTACCCAATGAATTGACATTTTGTCCCGTTTGTAATAATTGATTGCATTTATCTAATTTACAATTTATCAATTCATTACAATTTTTCTTAAGATCTGTAATAGTTGTAAATGGATTCTTCAGGTTTGGTGTCAGACATGTAAGCAATTGTTGAGAGCAATCAGTGACGGCATCAGCTCGAAGAAGACTATCACTCGATGACAACTCGGTGTCCAAACAACTTAATTGACCCAAAAGGGCGCAACTCATTAATAATGCTAATGATAGTTGACTCCACATTATACTAAAAGTATTTATCTATAAAATAAAATAATTTGTTGTATATTATTTTTTAAATATTAATATAACTTACTTTTGAATTTATATTAATTTTGTTATTTAATATTTTATATATTTATATATATTTTTATACTTTGTATACCTATCTATATTATATTATACTTTTATGTAAAATCACCGGTTTTATAGTTTTTTTGAAAACATCAAAAAGCATTTTATAGAAATAAAAAACATATTTTTACTTTAGTTTATTATTATTCTATAATATATAAATATTTTATGAAAGTTATTGTTTAGTTATATTATTATTATTTACTATTACTATAATTACTTTATGTTATTTTAAAAAGTATAATGTATTGTGTAACTCATTTATTTATTTACAGCTAACATTTTGTTTAATTTTTTTATTTTATTTATACAATACACTAGAAGCCTTTGTTTTATTTTTAATATTTTTGTTTTATTATTATTAATTATTATGTAATAAAAATTATTAACTTTATTAATTTTAATACAATTTGTTATATGATAAAAATTAGTAAAGTTTAGTTTAGATTAAATGAAGTATATTATATAAGAAATTTAAAAATAGTAGTTAAAACAAATTACAAATTTAATAATAATGTAATAAATATATTTTATGTATATTGGTTATGAATGTTACATTTTTATGTTTTATTAGTAAATATATATAAATAGTTTTAAAATTTTATTAAATTATAATTCAATTGTAACATTTAATATTAATATTTACTTGTATACTTAAAAATTATTATAATTTTATATTGTTAATATTAATTTTTAATAATAAAATATCTTTAAAATCTTAATTGTTTGCAATCATTTAATGTAAATAGTATCATTTTTTTATTTAATAAATAATTAATTAAAAAAATGAAAGTCAAGTAATATTTTGATTATAGCATAAATTAAAGGCTCTTATAGTAGTGAGAAAACAATGACATAAAATTGGTATATACTGTAGTAATTTATGATAACATATATAACAGAAACACAATTGAAAACTTGATATTTGACTTTTAGTTCATATTAAATAAGTTTTATTTATTGAAACCCTATAGACTTAAATCCCGTTGTCCAACATGTGTGTGAAAAGTCCCCAAACATAATAAGATATGACAAAACAATTTACTTCCTATAGTGGACTCTAACAGTTAAACTCAACATTTCATATAAAAAGGATTTTCCAGAAAACAGTTTAGTCAATCAGTTTTATAATAATATTGTTTTATGTTATTTAAGTTTATTATGTATTTTACAACTATGACTAGCATTAAGTTATTTAATTTATTTGCAATTATATATTTGCTAAATTATCCATCAATTGAATGCAATAGTATTAGTAATGATAGTAATGGTGATCACAACGTAAGGGACACGAAGTACGCGGGAGAGAGTAAACAAGTGCTCAATATATTGAATGACATGCAAACCGATGCCACACACCATCACCCGTACCATCATTTTGGTCATCATCCACACCATCCTCATCATCCACATCATCAAACAGGTCTACTATTAATTAATCAATTATAAATTAATTTGTAATATTTGTAAGCATTTTTATAACAAATTAATTGAAAATCATATATTATTATTTTTTATAGTTCTAAGTCCAGTAACTCACGAGGGTCATGGTTCAGGTCACAATCATTGGGATAATATTGATAAGCTATGGGAAAAAGGTGCCGGTGCTCATCACAGTGATTATGACAAATATGGTAATCATGGATATAAGCAACAGTATGTAGATATAGGGGAAGGTTATCACGATAGACATAATGATGGACTTAATGCTGGAAATTCTGAGGTAAAGTAATTATTTTTAAAAAAATATTTTATTTAAATATGATTATCATTACTACAACTATTTGCTAATTTAGGGTTACGATGATAGAAGTTTGTGGTCCAGAGATAGAGGACAGGATCACGAAAGGAATATGCGATGGGACAGGGAGTTAGAGAGTAATATTTTTATTTTATTAATTATTTTTTACCCCAAAAAAGTTTATTAGTAATATAAATATGACATTTATAAATGAAATAACAAACTGTTTAATGAAATAAAAACAATAAAAATATACTTAGATTTTGCAACATTTTTCTTAAACTCAGTCAAGAAGGCAAACGCCGGCAAATCGGGACATATCTCGAAATATCATCAGTTGGATAACGGAGCTCATTATGGACTCAAACATATTGATGAAAACAACTATAATGTTTATAGTGGACGGGGACGGTATATATTACATGTTTTGTTTATGCATTATATCAAAAATTGTTTCATCTATTGTTTCATTATTGCATTTCATAGTCATTCTGGTCAGGGATGGCATGAGTTGGATAGATATCGTGGTAATAAAGGACAGTATGTACACGGATCTGATTATAGGGAAAGTCCTTATATAATACCATCTGTTTATCATAAAAAATAATGTTTTTTTGTATATAAATATATATTTTTAAATGTTTAATCTTTTTTCACAAAACATAATTTTTATTTAATTCATACTTATTTTAATGACAATTATTTAGTTTTGACATATTAGTGATATTATTACTTATTTAGTGTTAATGCTATTATATATATTTAGTAATTTATAATTTTTATAATTAATAAAAACACACAGAACTACATCATAATAATAATATATTGTATAATACAATAATACTTTATACCACCATAATTTTAAATAAAATATTCAATCAAACATTTGTTAATTTTTGTTATTAATTTAAGCAATTATGTTTATTAACACATGGTGGCCACGCATTAACATGTGTGTGTGTGTGTGTGTGTGTGTGTGTGTGTGTGTGTGTGTGTGTGTGTGTGTGTGTGTGTGTGTGTGTGTGTGTGTGTGTGTGTGTGTGTGTGTGTGTGTGTGTGTGTGTGTGTGTGTGTGTGTGTGTGTGGAGTTGATTAAAAATTAAAATTAAAAATACACCACTTTATAAGCCATCAAAATTAAGTGATAAAAAGTTACAAATTTAATTAATGATGTTTTTTAAATATATTATTTTGTTGTTTGTGTTAACAATTAATGGATACCACTCTTTAGACGAGGAGTGGTGGACTCGGATCTATGGACTGGTATGTAAAGATGAAAGCGGTAGTCAAATACAAGTATCTGATAAACAGTTAGCCGCTGTTCATGGATTGTGTCTCGACGTTAAAGATATTGTAAGTTTTGTTTTGTGTCTTAAATTAAATAATACTAATTATATAATATTATATCAATATATATATATATATATACTGTATATCTAGGACCACGATGACAATGATAGCCCTGTCCATCAATGCTCAAATAAGTCAATAAAAACTTACCATGAACATTTGGACGCATTTTGCTATACAAAAACATTTGACTGTATTAAACAAAAATCATTACTCGGCTTAAACTCAACTGAAAAGAAACAAAAACTTATTGTAAGTATAACTATAATTATTTTAATAGTTTTTTTAAATGTTATTTCAATACAATAGGTATGTCAAAAATTTACTAATAATTTGTTTATTTTTTCAGGATTGCATTCAAACTATGCTTAAAAGTTTTTAATTGATTAGATATCAAACTTATTTATAAATAATATATTTTTTTCTTATGACTACTACGAAGATATTTTCAACGGATGTCAACTTTATATAATAATAATAATATATAATAAAAAGTTTTTTAAAAATTTTAAATAAATATTTATCTTTTTACTATCAATAATATTAAACGCATTAATTATATTTATTTTTTATGATTTCATATGATTAAACACATTGACACTATTGATAAGTACAGTAATGTATGATTTTATTTAAACACGTTTACAGTATAGTACAGTATTACAGTATAATAATCATTGTTAAACAATAATTGTGAAACTTATATTTTTGAATTATTAAACAAATATTAGAAAGAATTGCCAGATAAACATTTTCAATAGAGGAGAGTGTTTTTAAATTAATGAATAATCGGAAACTAAATTTTTTAATTAACTCTTATTAATTTGTTATATTAGTTATAAATTTTTGAAAATTTATTTATAGATAATAAATATTATAATTAATATTATCTCATATGTTTTTATATAATTTTTATATTTATAAAAATTAAAGACATATATTATATATGATATATACAGAGATTTAATTATGAAAACAATTCTCTGTTTTTCGAGAAAGTGTAGAAACCATAGTTTTGTATTGTATTTTATATTCAATATTATAAATAGTGATGAAGTTATTTTTACTTATGATATTTTTGTATAAATATTGATTACAACATTTTGATGATATAACATATTTTTAAGGTCTCAAGAGCTTAAAAATTATATAACAATTATTAAAATTCAATTGTAGTAATAGTAGCAAAATTGCAGTCAAATGAAGTCATTGATTGTATGTTTAGTTGTATTATCTGTATTGAGCACCGGGTGTTACACTCAAGAGGCCAAAGATGTCCGGTCTAATGCAACCAAAAAGTTAGAAACAATTGAACAAATGCTCTGTAAAGGTAAGGAGATTACTGATGATATGGTCAAACAGATTACATCCAAGTGCCAGACAAACAACAACAATCTTGAAATTGTATGTACAGTACTGCACTCGTAAACCCTATATTTGATTGAGTCTTAACTTAAATATTATTTTTTTATATAAAGAGAGATGATATATTGAAAACTTGTTATAAGACAACTGAGCTGACAGAAAGTCAAAAATTGTTGGCCATTTGTAACAAACAAAAAGACTGTATTATTGAGCAATGGATCAAATATTTGGAAAATTCATCGACTGATGCCATCAATAAGTTTTATACTACTAGTGATAACTTTTACGTTAGTATGAATGACAATATAAATAAATAGTTTTTTTGCCTTTAATTATAATTATAGTATAATAGCACTTATTATATACTGATAATACATGAATTAATATTTATAATTAATATCTTTTTATGTAATTACTATAGGATTGCGTCAAAACAGTACTCAAGTAATAGGAAAGCAAAATAAAAATTACTGGCATTTTTTAAATGATATAAAACTATAGCAATGACTATTTATTAATGAAAACTAAAATTAATTAACTAAAAAAAGTAAATAATCTAATCTCATATTTGTTGAAACTCACATTTCCTGTGACATTTTTATTTAATTAAATTACAATTTATTGTTTATATTTAATTTAAAATAATAAAATGTTTATTTATTATTTATATCTTATTTTTGTTTTGTTTATCTGTATTAATAAAAAATAAATGTTATCTCAAAATATAATTTCCTGTCACTTGGTTTTTATGTCAAAAAACAATAACATATTTATGTTGTTTTTAAGTATTATATCATTGATTTAATTAAATCATATAATTTATATGTATTAGACTACAGTATATCTCCAGATGAAAGCACTTGAAATATAATAGAAAAATAAGGAAAGGGATTAACAGACACCTAAGCAATGCAAACCTACAGTACTCTATGTTGATTCATATGTATGAACAGTAGATTATTGGATTTGTATTTTATATTTTACAAATTGTATTTAATTTATGTTTTACAATGTATATCAACAGTAGACCTACTATAGTATATTACTCTTATTGAAACAATCAATATTAATAACTAAATTAATTATTTAAGTTTTGTTAACAAAGTTAATAAATTTATTGTTAATTAATAAAATAAAAAAATGATAAGTATAACAGTACAGTACATTAACATATATTATTAAATGTTATAAACATGTTATTTGATCGTTACGTCAATTAGTTATCAGATTTTAATTAGATATTAAGTAATTTCCAAATGAAACTTAATAGAGATTCAAACTTTATATACAGTTTAGAAATTAAACAAATTTATTGATATAATATAATTAAAAAGTTTGTTTGAATCCAAATATAATTATCGCAATGAATATCGCAGTGATTTTCGTCGTTTTTTCGGTAAAATTCCAGTCAATATTAGTCTAACTTTGCGACCAAAAGTTGCCATTCGTGTCCTGCGACAGGTGTTGTCGGCCGACGCCGGGACCGGCTCTTCGGGAACTGAATTAGATGTCGACGACAGCGAGTCTTCCAAAAATGTTTTGTCAATAATACAGCTAACTTTGCGATTGCCATACGGTTCCACTATAACAGCAATCCGGCTGATTGACAGTGTTTGGTCAGTTGATGGACAGTCGTGTGTAGTCATTATATTGATTACACACTATTTTATAGAAAACAATTTGAAATAGTTGTCAATCAAAAGTTGTTTTTTGATTATAAGTGAAAAAACTTTGAAAAAACACTGTTTTCAATAAAGTTTGCTATCGGGAAACTGTAGGCATATCGAAATATACAACTTTACTAACTTTACAAAATTATACACCAAATGATTTACTTTAATATATCAAATAAAACATTACAATTTTAACTTATAAATGTGTTATTTATAATATATTAAATTTTAATGATTATTAATAACTTTTATACAAGAAAATACTGTAGTAGTAGTAGTAGTAATACAGTAATATTTGTTTTATTAATAATTGTAAAGTTTAGAAAACCCTAATGTATTGATAAGCCATTCAACCAATTGTATTGAGGGGTATGTATTGCCAATTACTATCTTCAGTGAATACAATGTTAATAATGTTTATGAAATGTCAATATTTATTGCAATTATTGGCAAATACTGTATATTTAATGTTATCTCTGCGTTGGTGATCACTGATCAGTCAAACCATCATAAGTTTTACTCGTATTTTTGGTAAATATAAGTAGTTTTTGTCACAATAATACCAGTTTAAGACCAGTTATGTCTGTTAGTAACTTATTATAGTTTGGGTCTGTCCTTAATTTTTGTGCACTCATCTCTCTAATACTTAACTGTATTATTGAAATATCGATACATGGTTTATTTAAAGTATATATTTATTTTTTCAAAGTTTTATTTAATTCTAATATAAATTAATAAATAAACACATGGATTAAAAGTATTAACTATACATTTGAATGTAATATATTGTGTGATATATGTAAGATATTAGTTTTATAAACCTTAATGATAATTTTTTGTCAATTTATGATTAACAGTTTGGTATAGTTTGGTTCAATTGAACTACAAAACCACAAAACAAATTATCTATTTTATGTTTTTATTTTGTTTCCAAATTACTATAATAATAAATAATACTGTATTAATATGTTTAATAATTAAACAATTTTCATTATATTAAATATTTATAGCACGATATTTTTAATAGAAAAGTATATTAAATATATTTATTAATGCTAACCATTGATTCTTCTATAGACAAAAATGACAATAAATATATTTTTTTAAGGTTATTGACAAAATTGTACCTAAATATTGCAATATACTGTATTTCTTATAATATCTTATATATTATCTAAAAAATCAATTCAATAAATCAAATTAACGATTAAATTTTAATAATTTGGTAATTAATTTATAATTTGTTATATATATATATATATATATATAAAGTTAAATCTTTGTAAACATTACTATAATTTTTAGATACAATTGTTGATCAATATTTAATAATAAAATATTTATTTTTATACTTACTGTTAGTATGTTTATTATTAATATAAATTTAATATTTTGTATTTTATAATTATAAATAATAAATTGATATTTAAAAAAATACATTTAAATAATGTAATAAATAATAAAATGCGGGTTTTAATTAAAACTTATCTAAAATTTATTACTATTATAGACACAATAAAATGATTATATGATAGGACTTTAGCAAAACTTACAGTTATGACTAGTCTTACTCTGCAATTACTAACTGTCGCTATAATTACATTACAGCGACAAATACAACATAACCATTACAGCAGTGGTCCGACACCGGCCAACAATACACAATATGATTACATAGTGGTGGGCGCCGGTACTGCCGGATGTGTTTTGGCCGCTCGATTGGCCGAAAATCCAGCGGTCAATGTGTTGCTTCTGGAAGCGGGTGGACAGCAATCAGTGATAACAGATATGCCGGGAAATACTCTGTTTCTAGTGGGCGGTGAGTTTGACTGGAATTATCACGTCGTACCACAAACCAGTGCCGGTCGAGCCTATCCTGACTTCTTTATCTCAAGAGGTAAGTACAGTATCAGTCAATTTATATATATATATAATATCTTTCAATGTTTTTAATCGATAATAAAATCATTTAAATGCATCGACAGGTAAAGTGTTAGGTGGTTCATCGGTCACCAATTGGGACATTTACAATAGGGGTAATAGACGTGATTATGATAACTGGGCGCAGATGTACGGTCTCACTGATTGGTCATTTGATAGAGTTTTGCCCTATTTTTTGATGTCTGAAAACAATACCGACCAAAATGTAGTCAACTCTAACTCTGCTTTTCACAACACGAATGGACTTATCAGTGTATCAACTGAGACAATACCCGATCCGGTTATTGTGGCTTTTATGAAAGCAGCCAATAGTCTCGGTATACCAATTGTCGACATTAATGGAGAACAACAATATGGTAATTAAATTATTGATAAAATTTTTAATTAATTTTATAGATATTTTTTTATTGTTAGGTACGACCATTGCTCAGATGTTTTGGAATAACAGCACCGGTATTAAGTCCACGACAGCCAATGCTTACATTGAACGCTATAATCGCACTAATCTTCATGTATTGACCAGAGCTCATGTCAAGAGAGTTTTATTAGAGAGGACTACCGGTCGTGAATTAAGGGCTACGGGTGTGCTCTACAGTAGAAACGGTATTAATAATTTGGTCGTTACAACCACTCGTGAAGTTATTGTGAGCGCAGGTATTATTTCTCTCTTAATAAGACAATTTTTAATAGTTATATTACTTAATGGACAGGTCCTATAAATTCGCCTCAAGTTCTCATGTTGTCGGGAATTGGTCCGAGAGATCATTTAAGTGCATTAAACATACCGGTGCTATTAGATCTACCGGTTGGCAATAATTTACACGACATGGTGTTTGTGCCCCTTTACTACCGTATTGACAATACATCACTTATTGATCCGTTACCATACTTTACAATTGAAAATCTATACAATTATTACACTTCGTCTAGTGGCCCATTAGCCCATCATCCGGATGGTGTGACATATCTTAATACACGATACAACCGACGCGGAGACGACTGGCCCGACGCTATGATTATAGCTGTTGTTGAATATTTTGGCGACGACTTGAATGCCACTGTCTCTCAATATATAAACAAAACGTAAGTATTTATTGTTTAAAAATATATTTATAGTATTGTTTTAATTACCGGTATTTTTATAATAGTCAAGAATGGACTGACTATTGGCGTCAATATGTTGGCGGATATTACATGGCATTAGATCCAGTGTTAGCCCGTCCTATAAGCAGAGGAACTGTACGTTTGAATGCCAGTAATCCATACGGACCGCCATTAGTAGATCCACAATATTTGGTCGAACATCGGGACTTTGAGACCATTTTGGATGCCGTTCGCCGAACTGTTTATATCACAGTACAGGTTCCGTTAGATGGTGTTACTATATTTCCTCCTATACCTGGCTGTAGGCTATGCGATGATATGGATATATGCGATGACTACTTGAGATGTCATGTCAGACAACTGGCCAGAAGTTATTACAACTTTGTCGGCACCTGTAGGTAATGACATAATAATAAAAGATAGTTTTGAAAAGTAAAGACAATATAATTGATTTTTATATTAAAGAATGGGTACTAACAGTGATAATAATTCTGTGGTTGACTCTCGGCTTTCAGTCAAAGGTGTGTCTAATTTACGAGTAGTGGACGCATCGGTTATACCGGAGATTCCTAATGGACACACAAATGCGGTCACTATTATGATTGCCGAAAGAGCCGCTCAATTCATTAGAGAAAATAACTCGATATAAAATAATATAGTTTTTATATTTTTAGTTTATTTATTTTGAATTATTTAATGTCTACCAATAATAATAATAATAATAATATTTAATTTTTATTTATTAATTATTTATTAATTAAGATAATTTAGTTTATGTTCATAAATAAAATTTATATTAATATTTACTTTGAGTAAACAGTTTGAATCTAACAGTATATCACTTATTAAAGATTTATAAAATAAAAATCCAATGTTAATCAACAACAATAAACTCTATTACGACAGCTATAACCACAATATACAGTACAATACATTAAAACATCACCACTTTTTACACCAGAATATTATGAAACAAAAATAATATCCAATTCCAGTACAACTCCAATGCCGACAACCATTGCCATCAAACTGTTGTGTCCGGATATGTACGATATATATCCCTGTAGTTGTAAACAACAAATAATCACATGTAACACAACAGACAAAATCAATTTTAATCATATATTCAATGCAATAGCAAATATCAATACCAGTCCAGAGAATTGACACTTTCAGACATTTGAGTTAATCGGTTCAAACTTTGAACTTCAAAGATACCAGAGCTAAGAGACGACTTGTATTTTGGTATTACTTTTGAAACTATTCGCTTCATTGGTTGCAATCATCTGCAATGTGTCGAATCCCAAGGCATTCAAAGGTTTGGAAAAATGGGTCACAAAGTTTGAGGCTATAAATACTAGTTTTAGGTAATAATATAGAATAATAACAATAATTGTTAATAATAATTAGTTATTGATATTTAATAATTTTATATTTTATTATATAAAACAATTCAACTGAAAATGGATGTTCAATATTTACAGCATTAAAATCATTGAAAAAACCAGTGAAAATGCTTATAGAGCATTGCCAGAACAAACTTTTATGGCATAAAATATGTTCGCATTTTATTATAGAATAATAATTTAAAATTATTAGAGAGGTATCATATAATTCAGTTTGACAAAATGAACTCAACTATAGTCATGTAAGTTATCAAATGATTCAGACAAAATAAATTCAAATATAGACATGTAGGGTATCAAATGATTCAGAATGGCAAAATAAACTCAACGATTGTCTTGTATGGCATCAAATGATTCAGACAAAATAAATTCAACAATAGTCATATAGAGTATCAAATGATACAGAAAGGCAAAATAAACTCAACTATAGTCATGTTTGGTATCCAATGATTCAGAATGACAATATAAACTCAATTTTAGTCATGAAATACTTACAGAATAAGTAAGTAAATTCAAATATAGTTATGTAGGGTATCAAATGATTCAGAATGGCAAAATAAACTCAACGATTGTCTTGTATGGCATCAAATGATTCAGACAAAATAAATTCAACAATAGTCATATAGAGTATCAAATGATACAGAAAGGCAAAATAAACTCAACTATAGTCATGTTTGGTATCCAATGATTCAGAATGACAATATAAACTCAATTTTAGTCATGAAATACTTACAGAATAAGTAAGTAAATTCAAATATAGTTATGTAGGGTATCAAATGATTCAGCAAGGCAAAATGAACTATACTATAGTCATGTTTTGTATCAAATGATTCAGAATGACAATATAAACTCAATTTTAGTCATGAGGGATATCAAATGATACAATATGAAAAAATAAACAAGTTTTGTCATGTATGTAATAACAGATTTATAAAATAAATTACTGAATTACTTCTATATTAATATAAATCTTAGAATTACAAACATTAGCATACATAACTACATTAGCATACATAACTACATTATCATAAATTCAATTTTTAAACTTGCAGCCATATATTCCGCTAATTCATTATATCATAATTTTTATAACACAATTCTAAACGTTAAAATTTTTTAAAAATTTTATACTTTTGCCGCCATTTTTGAAAAAATAAAAAAATAATTTTGATTTATTATCTTATTTTTGTTGCTCTTTACAATTCTAAAGGTTAAAATTGTCCTAAAATTTTATATACTTGCCGATCCTAACAATCAGTCCGCACAGGCACTCACTCACGTACTCTCTCACAACCATTACTTTACATCCAATCAATTAATAAATTAATTATCATTAAACTCGTTGTCCATTAATTACCATCGCTGGCTATCATCGGTAGATCAACACGCAAAGTAAAATTTATTATATCTTATTTTTGATGCTCTATGCAATTCTAAATGTTAAAAATTTTTACCTAATTTTTTTACTTTAGCCGCCGTTTTATCTAAGTTCCCGAAGAGATATCAAAAATTTAATGCGGATTTCTTATGCCTGTTTTTGATGCTTTATTCAAATCTATTTTTAAAATTTTTAAAAATTTTGGACGTCATTTTCTTTATGTTCTCGAAGAAATATCAAAATTTTAATGCATAATTTTATGCTTGTTTTTGATGCTTTATTCAAATCTATACTTAATAAAAAAAATTTTTTACTTTGGCCGCTATTTTGTCTATGTTCCCAAAGAGATATCAAAATTTTGATGCAACTTTTCAATACATTATTAGTAGTCCTCTAACCGAATCTGAAATAAAATTTCAAAATTCGCAACTTGAAACCAACAGACACACACACATATAGATTTCAATGAACTACTTTTTTCTAAAAGTTTGTTCGATTAAAAGAAATTACAATAAAAAACAGTCATATCATTGAAATACCAGAATATTCTTTCAATAGTCATATGAAAGTAACCACTATTGAAGTGAGTGATAGTGATATTACTAAAGTTAACAGTTATGCCTTTTATGATTTAAAAGCTATTTTCATAGCCCATAAAATTAAAATATCTAAAAATTATTGAATATTTTAATAAATTTAATTATATTATAATTATAATTTTGAAAACAGCTTTACATCGCTTAGATTTGTCGTCTAATAGTATCGTCGAATTGATTCCCACGCCTTCTTCTTTGCCGACGGTTCTAACCAGTCGTTGACTATTGATTTGTTATCAAATATATTGACAACAGAGACCTTTCACAAGTCGTTTATTGAAATCAATGGCAGAAAAACAGTGATAAATGTATCAAATAATAGCAAATTAAATGTTTTAAAAGAAATATATTTTGGAGAATTCCTGAAGAATGACAATTATAATCTATATTTGAATAAATTACCATGTACAGTTTTTGATAAATTTAATTTTTAAAATGTAACAAGGCTGCGATCCTCACGATCTCGATTTTAATCCTTATTTTGATCCCGATTTTGATCCCGATTTTGATCCCGATTTTGATCCCGATTTTGATCCCGATTTTGATCCCGATTTTGATCCCGGTTATTGTTTTGAGTTTTATTGCCATCCAAATCCTCATCCCGGTATCGATTACTAAAGCGGTCTCTGTCCCGATCGCATGTAACAAATGTCGTTACAATTATACATATTGTTTTTACTATTGTTGAAATCAACTTTATATTAATAATTAGTTTCTAATTGTTATATGAAATTTTGCATACATTTTATAAATTATATTTTTTACTATTTTTGTTATTAGTCGAGTTAATCAATAAAAATCACATAAAATTAAAAATAAACAGTGAATATATACTAATCAACAATAGTTTAAACTGAATTACAATAGTAAAACTTACTTTTATTGTGTCCACTCAAATGAGAGAACCTAATAGACACTTAACAAAACAGATTGCTTTTTATTAAAATATTTTAATTAAGATTTTAACAACATTTTTAATAAATTTGCTACAAAAAAACATATGCTTAAACAAAATAGTATAATTTGAAATAAATTTTAAAAATATAAATATTATATATGTTATATTTATTATCAAATTTATAATAAATATAATTCATATAAAAAACTTTTAGTTTTATATATAATTAAAACATATTATATTATGATTTTATAAAACATTAACAGAATTAACACTACAGTCATCTTTGGTTTTCTTCCAGAAATCGATGCCATCGGAAGTCAGAATATTCTTGAGTTTATCTCTTAAATTGAGATTCACTTCATTTTCCAAAAGCCAAAGATTACATTTGGAGCAATCAATAGGAGTTATTGTTAAATCAATTATATTATCTTCAGTTTTATTTCTTCTATTAACCAAAAATGGTTCAAAAACTTCTTCGTTAAGACAGTGAAGATTAATATTTTCGCCCAAACGGAGCTCTGTTTTGACATTAGTTTTTAGACATGAATTGCCAAAACTATTATTTTTTAGGGCGTTGTGCTCTAAATTAATTAGTAAACTGTTTTTTATTGGTAATGTTATCTCAAAACCATGACTTTTTATCGATGAAATCCTATGTCTCGATAGATCTATTAACTGGACATCTATTATGTAAGAAATATTTCAATTAATATGTAAAAATATAATTAAACTGTTAGCTCACTCGGCAGATCATTAAAAGCTTTTTCACCGACTTGTGTGATAACACCTCCCTGTCCTCCACTGAAATCAATTGTTGATAAGTCACTCAATTGACCTAATTTGCCAGTAAAAGCATTATCAGGTATTTCTGTTATTTTACTTCTAACTATTTTAAGTGATTTTAAGTTTTTCAAGTATCTGATTGCTTCAAAAATACTACAATCACGACGTCCGAACCAACTGTTTATACATAAAAAACATTGATTAATATATATATAAATTAAGTAATTATGACTAAAATTTTAAAAAATATATACTCAAAATGAGTGTCACTCGCGTATATTGACGTCACATTAGGTTGAAGTCCGGCAAATGCCTCACTCGATACACACGATAGTCGGAAACAGTCGATAAACTTAAGATTATTGAAAGTAAGTCCATGAAAAACTCCCCGATCTAGTGAACTGATCTCAGAGGCATTCAATATGAATGTGTCAAATGCCAGTCCTTGAGGGTCCTGACCTTTGGCTATCAGTCCTAAAACAACATCCAATTCAAATTTATCAGTTGTCTCGCATGCTATGGTTGTGGGCGTACACGTGCACGGTTTGATGGTATCGGGATTAGATGGACATACACCTGCATGTGCTACCTGTGCTCTACATATTAGCAATATTAGTGCCAATGTGATTTCTAAGAAAATATAATTTTCATTAAACTTTTTTAATAATTAATTTATTTTTAACATTTTATTTGCTATTATGAAAATGTCAAACCTCTTAATAATAAAATCATTTTCTAATAAGTTATTGTTATTGTAAATTATAGCAGACAAAAAAAATTGGCTTTTATATACAATTATTAAAAACAATTATAATTCTGTCTAATAATATTATCAATTATAATTAAAAGATATTTTCACTAATAATAAAGTTTAAAGAGCTCTCAAAACGATTCGTTAGAAATATAAGTAAATACTAATAAGAGAATATTAATTGTAATTTTCTCATATATATCTTATCTTCATTTTAGCAAAAAAATATAATTATTAGTAAATTGATTAAATAATATTTTTGTAAATATGTTGATATAAAATATTGCTATTGTCTTAATTTTTAATTATCATTTTATCAACATTTTTCACAAAACTCTAAATAATAGTTAAATTATTTAAAAATTCAATATATATTATAGATTACAACAAATAAAGACTTATTTATTAAAAATATATATAAAACTCTATAATTAATAATTAATTTTTTCTGTATTAAGGTTTAGTTTATTTTTAAAATGCAGCTCTATTTTAGCTAACAATCACTGAATTAATGTTTATATTTATCAAATGTTTAGGTAAAACATTTTTTAATTAACAATCAAAGGTCTCATTAGTAATTATTTTATGTGATCTAGATTTCAGTAATTACAGTATTTTAAAATTAATAATTATATTAAAACTTTTAAAGTTTTTATTGGGAAAAAATGTTTTGCAATTGAAGTACTTTATTAAGTAATGTTTAATAGCATTTCTTTCAATTTTTGGTTATCATTGCCTTTTCAACACCACTTATATCAATGTAAATAAATTTAGTCAAAACATCGGTCGATGAGTGAAATGCATCGGTGGGTACTTCAGTAATCAGATTATCAGTTATAGTGATGGCCTTCAATGACACTAATCTTCTCAATTAATTCAATATTAATTATTTAATATTATTAACAAATATTTAAAAATTACTAAAAACTATTTTTTTAAAAATTAATTAAAATAATTATAGCTATTCTTATTATATAAAATATATTTATATATATATATTATGTGTAAAATCTATTATATTAAAGATTTTGATTTTATATCAAAAATTTGTTTAATTTTAATTTTTTAATAAGTATAAAATTTAATAGAAAATTAAAACTTTTGGTAGTTTTCATAATATTTCAGAAAAAATACAATTTATTCAATAAATTAATTATTATATTTTTAAAATATCAAACCATTGTTTTTTATAAAAATTTTTTTAATAAAATACTTTTTATTTTTGTTATAATTTAAGACTAGCTATAAAAATATATTTATAATTATAATACATTATAAGATAAGTAATATGAAATTAATGTAGAGGAGTAGTATTTGAAAATTAAAACACATTTATTAATAATCTTTAAATAAATAAATTTTGTTACGAAATTATTGAAATAAATAAATTTTTAAAAATAAAAGAAATTAATAAGAATTATACAAAACACATGCAATTAATATGATAAATGAAAAACTAATAACAATGTCATTAGCAATTAATACTTTATTTTATTTTTGTATCATTAAAGATAATACTTTACTATAGACTTTTATATATTTTTTAATTATTTGATAATTGATAATTATAGAATAAAATAATTAATAATAGTATACTTTTTCTATTAATTGATTAGCATTTGTATACAAAAGTACAAAAAACAGTAACTACAGTATAAAAAGCACAGTTAGTTTACAATAAAAACAGTTTACTTTTAAAAAAGTGAAATTCATTAAAAAAAACTAAGACACAAATTAATTACAATGTCAACATTATTATTATTATACGGTATTATTAAACAAAACTTTATTATAACATAATTAAACTTGTATTTTTTTAATAACTGTAATATAGCTATACTATCAATATGCACTGTTGACCTTGCACTGGGAGGGATTTGTCCTCCTAATCCACGAGATATCTACCCGTGCACGTGTGATGGTGTTACCATACGCTGTATTGCCATCAAAAACTTTGATCTGGAACTAGTTATGGAAACATTGGCTCGAATAACATCGCCCGGTGTCAACCCATTTGTCAACTTTGAACTCGAGGCCAGTACTGTGGAAATGTTGGACGACAGTGTCTTTCATGGGGTCACCTTTCAATACCTCAAATTCAATGGTAATTCTTTGTTAACTTGTGTTAACCCAAAAGCTTTTGAGGGTATGTCTGAAACAATAGTTTCATTTGAGTCAGCACTAACTAGTTTCAGGTAATAATAAATAAAAATAATATAAATTACAATAAATTAAAAATATTAATTATTTATTTTGAAAATAATTTACTAGTAATTATACTTCACGTATTTGTGATATATTTGGTGCATTGAGTTCAATGCATTTAATCAACAAAATATCAATCATTGGTTCCGGTATTCAAAAGATACCGGACAATGCATTCAATGGCATTTTAAAACAAATATATTTAAACACCATTGACTTTAGTGGTCAGGACCAGGGTGGAAATATTACATCAATTGGCAAACATGCTTTTTCTAAAGTACCAAGTATGTTTTTTAAATTTCTATAAATTATTTTTAAAGAAATATTTACATAAACAATAAATTTATATAAATAGATTTACTAAACCTAAATTTGGCGACACATAAAATCAATGAAATTTGGAGCAATGCTTTCCAGTTTGAGGACTGGAATGAAAACCCATTGACTATAAATTTAAGACGAAATCCTATGACTAATACAACATTTAAAGGAGCTATGGATACAAATGGTCGCATAACTACATTGGATTTGAGTGGTATCCCAACATTGAAACAATTGCCCGAAAGTATATTCGATGCCTTCCTAGAGGACAGAGGCTGGCCTTCAAACAAAATTATCTTAACCGGCACTCCGTGTACCGTAACTGAGGGCAACAAATGGATACTACAGAATAAGGCCAAAGAGCACTTACCCGACAAACTTATTGATTTTATTTGCATTGATGGGGAACGTATATTTGAGCACAGTCTCAGTGAATTTGATAAACCCGATACCTTTTATTAACATTAACTGTCCTATTCATTAATTAATTAAAAATAAATTTTAAATTAAATATTTTAATAAATAATAATATTTTAAGCTAATATTAATATTTATTTTATAAATTTAATATGTGTATATTTGAATATTTTTTCTATCATATTATATCAATTAAAGTAAAATAAAAATAAACTAATATTAAGTAACTTTATACTTTAATTTCTTATTTTTTTAGTTTTATTTTTTAAATATCGATATATTATTTAATTAAAAAAATGTATAAGAAAAAAGTAATGTAAGAATATTTTAAAAGTAAAATGATATTTATTTAATATTAATATATCAATTATAGCCTTATCAGGGTTGGAAAAATACAAGGTTTTCAATTTTGGTTTTGTAAATTACAGTAAAATACAACGTACTGGATGTATTTTACAATTATAGAAAAATTACATTAACAATGATAAAATATTTATTTTTTTATTAAAATTATTATTATTACATAATTTCAATATCGTTATTAGAATCGTTGTTTTCTAAGACTATTAAAAATTAATATTAATTATTTTATTAATATATTTCAATACCAGAATTAAATTGAATAGTTAATTTCAAAATTTTTTTAAATAAAAAAATAATTATTATTACAAAACATGTGTTTGTTTGTGAATTTTTGTATTTTTGTTATTAGGTGGCGCTAAAATTATTTTGTAAGCCAAAATTGTCATGTAATTTACATTGTATTATACTGTATAATACGCTTTGTATTATACATACACTTTGTCTCTGCCAACACTGAGCCTTATTAATCTAAATATCAAAATATAGTTTATATAAAATATTTTAAAAATATTTTAATTTTGTAATAATAAGATTATAATTTTAAAAATAAGCTTAAGATTATCATGGTTAATTATATCTATAATATCAAAATAATGTTATGGAATAATTGAAAATTAATATACTTAAATTTAGTATTAATCAATTTCTTTGATTTTGTAACAAAATTTATTAATCTATAAACTAATAAAAAATAATAATAAATTAGTAATAATTATATAAAATATATGTAATTGATATGATAAATAACAAAACTATCAACAAAGTCATTGTTAATTAATACTTTACTGTAGCTTATACAGTATAATTTAAGGTAATATATCTATTAATATAATATAAATGGATAATAAATTATACATTTTTATATTATTTGATAATTAATAATTATGATAATAGATTAAAATAATTAATAATAATATATTTCTTATATTAATTGATTAGCATTTCTACATAAAATCATTGTTGAAAACAAAGTACAAAAAACATTAACTATAAAAATCACTGTTATTTTACAATAAATTAGTTTGTTTTTTAAAAATTTATATTCATTCAAAAATTATTATTATCAAAGTAATAACAATGTCTGCATTATTATTATATGGTATTATTTATAACAAATTTTTATAATATAATATTATAAAATTTATTTAATTACTGTTATATATAAAAATTTTATTATAGCAATATTAGCAATATGCACTGTTGATCTGGCACTAGGAGGGATTTGTCCTCCTAATCCACGAGATATCTACCCGTGCACGTGTGATGGTGTTACCATACGCTGTATTGCCATCAAAAACTTTGATCTGGAACTAGTTATGGAAACATTGGCTCGAATAACATCGCCCGGTGTCAACCCATTTGTCAACTTTGAACTCGAGGCCAGTACAGTGGAAATGTTGGACGACAGTGTCTTTCATGGGGTCACCTTTCAATATCTCAAATTCAATGGTAATTCTTTGTTAACTTGTGTTAACCCAAAAGCTTTTGAGGGTATGTCTGAAACAATAGTTTCATTTGAGTCAGCACTAACTAGTTTCAGGTAATAATAAATAAAAATAATATAAATTACAATAAATTAAAAATATTTTATTTTGAAAATAATTTACTAGTAATTATACTTCACGTATTTGTGATATATTTGGTGCATTGAGTTCAATGCATTTAATCAACAAAATATCAATCATTGGTTCCGGTATTCAAAAGATACCGGACAATGCATTCAATGGCATTTTAAAACAAATATTTTTAAACACCATTGATTTAAGTGGTCAGGACCAGGGTGGAAATATTACATCAATTGGCAAACATGCTTTTTCTAAATTACCAAGTATGTTTTTATTAATCAAATATTTTTATAGAAACTTTACTTAAAGAATGAATTTATATATAGACTTATTGAACGTAAATTTGGCGACACATAAAATCAATGAGATTTCGAGCAATGCTTTCCAGTTTGAGGACTGGAATCAAAATCAATTGACTATAAATTTAAGACGAAATCCAATGACAAATACAACATTTAAGGGTACTTTCGATACAAATGGTCGCATAACTACATTGGATTTGAGTGGTATCCCAACATTGAAACAATTGCCCGAAAGTATATTCGAGGTCTTCCTCCAGGACAGGGCCTGGACTTCAAACAAAATTATCTTAACCGGCACTCCGTGTACCGTAACTGAGGGCAACAAATGGGTTGTGTTGAACAAAGCTAGAGAGCACTTACCCGACAAACTTATTGATTTCATTTGCACTGATGGTATCCCTATATTCCAGCACAGTCTCAGTGAATTTGATAAACCCGATACCTTTTATTAACAATACAACTAACTATTAATTTTATTTTAAATCAAAACTATTGACTATTTTTAATTTTCTCTTTATATATATAATATATATTTCATAATCTTAATAATTAAATATATTTGCTTGATTTATATACTTGATAAATTTATTGAAAATATAGTAATATGTGTTTATTTTCAAAATATGTGTTGTGTTTTGAAAATTTGTCAAAATATTATGTTATTATATTATTGGATTGATATTAATATATTTAACCGCAAAAAATATGTGTAATTACATTTCAAACATCAAATTATTCAATACTTTTGGAGTATAAACATTAATTGACTTAATGATAGTCATATCAAAAAGCATTTTAGAGACAAATATTATAATATGAATAATATCTCAAATAATAGTACTATAATTATAAAAAATATCAATAATAATGACTATTGAACTTAACATTGAAATCATAAATTATCATTCAGTTTCTCATTCATAATCTAAATATCATATTAAAATAATAAATTGATTAACATTTAAATATTGAATATAAACTTACATATAATAGTATCTGAATTTCTATCAATCAGATTGGTTTAAATCTCAAAATCTTTGTTTAATAGTTTTTTTTGCCATACCCCGACCTACCCTTCCATTGCATAATAATTAATAATTAAAAATAATTTATAGAAATAGGAGTTTAAAAATTATTTATATATCGGATTAAATATTATAATTATTAATTTAAAATTATAGTTATATATAATATTATAAATTATTTTAAATCAAATTATAATAAATTAACGAATTATTTTAAAATCAAAGTTTAATACTTATTTAAATAAATTTTAATACAAATAACATTTAATGCTAATACAATATATGTTTGATTTTATTTTATCATTAATTTTTAAATCACAATCAATCAGTCAATAACTTAAAAATGACATTAAATTTAGATATAACGCTCTTTTACTAAAAATTGAAAAATAAGTTTTATTTAATAATATTTATTTTTAATTACAAAAAAACTATTATTTTCCGTATTGATTGCTAATCGATGCACTGTTTAAAGTATTAGAGTAACCAATGATACCGCAAGCAATAAGTTGACCGCAATTACCGTGTATTAGACTCTGAATATTACCTCCGAGTCCGAGATCGTCGGGTTGCGAGCATATGCCAAATGAACGACCGGCCACTGCATTGTTGTCTTCAATGGAAATACGGCTTTTGACAATTTTGTTGACAAAAGCGACACCCGTAACATCGCCCACAATGTTGCCCAGGTCACCCGCGTGACTCTGCGGGTAATTCATATTGCCGTGAGTACTGTTTTGTGGGTTAAAGTGCGGACCAATCGATTGACACCCATTACTAATATCTCCATATTTATGAATAGCGATACCGTATTTATGGTTTGGCTTCAAATCTACCAAAAAAATTGTTTTATATTTTTCAATATTAATAAAATTCTATAATTTTATACATACTTTGTATGACTCCCGAAACCAGAACTATATTTCGATAAATTTCACTCATATATAACGTTCCCTTAATATTAGTTGGAGGACCACCCAAATGTCCTGTAATTTAAATAATAAATTATCATTTATTATCAGATTATATTTTTAATCACACCTTACCATCGATAACGACAACTGCGACCAACATTTTAAACTCATTATTGGATTGCTTTTGATAGCCGGGTGTGCTATAGTTGTTTGATTGAAAGATATTTGGTGGAGGCGTGTACTGCAAATTGTAGGCCGAGTACAGCATATTAGCGTAAGAGTTATAATTATCGGGACTGTCATGTATTCAATAAACATCTCATTAAAAATAGTCTTTATTTTTTAGTCTTTAGACTTTAAAAAACTTGAGAACAATACCTCATATATTGACTAATTTCCTGATATGGCACGACTTCAACATATTTGCTGTAATCAACTGTAGGTATGGGTGCAAGTGATGGCATACCATAGTTATTTTCACCTCCAGCATACTGATTGCCTCTATCATAGAGAGGCCCATTAGGTCCGTTAATAGTATTTGATTGACTGTTATAGACAGGTACTTCAGTATTACCATTAAATATCTGTGCGTCTCCATAGCCATGATTACCCCCATAATTATTAGGTGGATTTGGTCTATATTGACCTGGAACTGGACCATTACCATAAGGAACGTTATGTTGTATAGGAACATTTCCATAGATAGGTGGAATGTTACCTCCATTATACTGTTGCAGAGGGTTTCCCACAGGTACATGTATATTTGGTCCGTAAGGGCCAACTGGTAATGGTGGGCCACCAGGATATATAGGTCCGTTGGGTCCTCTATTATAATCGGGATTATTGTTGTATCCAAATAATGTTCGGTACACATCATAGCCAGTTACATTAGTATTTTTATTACCATATTGCGGGCCAACTGGATTACCGACTGGTCTATATGAAATAGGGGGGCGTTGCACTGGGAGATTAGGTTTATTATAGTTATTATTATTATTATTATTATAGTTGTTATAACCAGGGTTATTATAATTAATTTGTGGTGGGACTTCTATAGTGGGAGGACTCAGTTTGTAGATTGGATTCTATAAATAAACATTTAGTGTATTAATAAATATTTAAAAATTAAATTAGATATACAACACAATTGTCTAACCTCAACAGTTCCTGGTTTATTAGGTTTAACATTTTTATTATTAGTCAAATTGAATTTGTTGTTAAAGTCCTGGATCAGTTTATTTTGATCCATTACTAACTTATTTTTATGCGCTTCAAGTGCCTGTTTGTTTTGGTCCAATACTAACTTTGTTGACTCAAAACCGGGTATCGATGAAAATAAATTATCTTTTTCTGGTTTTAAAGCTAACAATTGATAAGCAATTATTGTAAAAATTTATTAATTTATTATATAATAATAATTATTATAATTATAATAGCTATTATGATATATTTACATGTGACATTATTATTATAGTCATAATTGTTATAACTGTTATCATAGTTATCATATGCAGGTGTTGTTGTGGTAGTAGTGGCGGTGGCAAATGGCCAGGCTGATAGATCTTAGTAATACTAACATTATAGCTATCACTCAATTCATTACAACTATTTACTAACCTGTTATGCCTTGTGATGACAGCGACGCCATCGATGCAATGGTCATCACAAGTATCCATAGTTTTGTATCCATATTGTAGTCTATTGTATGGCGTGAAGAGTCACATCCATTGCACAAAAATAGTGATACCAAAGCCAATGATGTGGCAAATCAGTACTGATATACAGTACTACTTATTTAGTCGTCTATTATCGCATCGTTAACATTGAAAAATTCACTTTAGATTTAAACTTTTTAGTCATTGATTAAAATTATTTTAAGTCAATGTAAGCAAAATATTTTGTCAAATAATCAAAAGTTTTTAAGTAAAAAATATTCACTCGATTTAATTAATTAACAGTTTATATCAATAATATTAACATTATGTAAGTTAACAAAACATTAAATTATTAAATAGAAATACATTTTTTAAATTTTTATTCAGGGTTGCAAATGGTTTTCGATTTCAGGGGGTATAGGGTGGGGTAAAATTGTAAAAATCTCGAAAAAATACTTGGGGGTATAGCAGGGGTAAACATTTTTATTGCATTTTTAAACGAAAATTTTATTCAAATTACACTAAATTCCCACTAAATTTCCATTAAATACCAATTAAATTCACGTTAAATTCCAAAGTAAATTTCCTATAAATTCCTCATAAATTCACTAAAAAAATATTCTCAATTTAATTAGTCTTTAGTCCTAAAGGTTAAGAACTAAAAATTTGCATAAATATATATATATAAGCTAACTATACTTAAATATATATAACTATTTAATTATAACAATTAATTAAAAATAAAATTAACTATAATAAATATTAATTGATTATTATTAATATTAGTGAATTATATTTTTAGAAGAGTATAATTGATAAAGTGATAAATATATGTGTAATTAATAAAAATATCAATGATATTGTACTGTATTTATTTTAACGTCTTATAAAATACAAATAATTAAATAACTAACAAAATTATAATAAAATTTATGCTAAAAATTTAAATTTTTGAGTTTTAAATTGAAATATAATATATTTTAACTTTTATAAAGAGCTAAAAAAATAAAATAAAATATTTTCATTTTTTTCATTCTATTTAAAAAATTAGTGGGAATTTATTAGGGAACATTTTTCCCTTGTGGGGATACCAGAACTCTACATATGAAATATTTATTAAATATATTTAGTATCTTTAAAGAATATTTTGTGTAATTAGTCAATAAATTTTTATTTTTATGTTTAAATATAACAAAATTAAGTTTTTATTGATTTGTTACATATATTACGTTAATATTTAGTGTAAATAATGTTAAATATATGTAATTAAGTATTTTTATCTATTTATTTTTAATATTATAGCTATTAATTTATATTAAAACTCATTTAGTATTTTTTTTGTTTAATATAAAATTTTACATTGATGAAAAAAATTTTCGCTGAAAATTGGTAGGGGCCCCAAAATATTTTAGCTTTCATACCACAGGGGATAAGATCCAAAAATCTCTATCTTAGGGTGTAAGATGTCCACCCCTACCCCCTTTAGCAACCCTGGTTTTATAGATAATATAGGAATCAAATAATTTTTTAAATAATACAATTTTAATCTATATAGTTATAATACATACAAATACAATAATGAAATTAATTAAATTACTAAATATTTTTATTAAATTATTTATATTAAAATAACACACTTATAAAAGTGATATAGGTTTGATGATGGATTATTTTTGCAATTTACACATATATAACACTAAATAAAGATCAAATATATTAAAAATAACAATAAGATACATTTTTAGTAATTTAGTTAAAATATATATAAATTAATATTATTATAAATTGTTATAACCATTGTTTGTACTGTCGTTTTCTCTATATTGATCTGAACCGGGATCATTACCATTAGGAACGTTAGGCTGTACTGGAGCACTTTCATACATGGCTGCAATTTAACCTACATTATATTGTAACAATGGATTTCCGGTAGATACAGGTGCTCTTAGTCGGTATAAACCATTTCGATAAATATGATAAATAGAGCCATAATATATAGGATTATTATATCTATATATCGTTTGGTAGACACCATAACCTATCAAAATAAATAAACTATATTTTCATGTATTCAAAATAGTTTTGACTTTTTTAAACAATTATTTGTAAGTTACAGCTACAGTATTTGCAACAATTTTTAGATGTATTTATTTGGCTTTAATTTTATATTACATTTTATATGTACAAACTGTATGTAACAAATATAATTTTGTATTTTTATTTAAGATTTAATGTTTAATTAAGTATACAATGTATATTATAAATTTAAACATTTACAGTAGACTACACTGTACTACACTGTATAAATATTTACTTACTATATATTATATACGGTATCACTATTTTATTAAACATACTTATAATTTTTAATAATCATAAATATCAGGGTTATTACCCGGAGCTAAAGATTTTTCTATTTACCCCTTTATATATTTTTAGATTTGTTTTTTTTGAAAACTTTTATACAATCCCTAATATAAAAAACTTTGTTTATTTCTCTTTAATGTTTGTAAATTGTAAATATATCTGCAAATAAATATAAATATTTTGCTTGATGTTTGTGATATAATATTATAAATTAATTAATAATAAAAATTTCATATTATTGTTAAAATTTAAATAGTTATAAATTATAAATAATCTTAAAAACAAAAATAATTTCAATAACTCAAAGAGTTTTAATTAATTATATTACCCGATGAATGATATGGAATAAGAGATCGTTGTAATTGAAGATTATTGAAAATTATTTTATTTTGGATTAATATAATTTTATATTAATCCAGTATTAGTTTATTCAAATTAAATTATTTTGGTTTACTATTAACTGATTTTGTTTGAGAGTTTGTTTATCTTTGATCCAATGGTAACTTAATTGAGTTCAAACCTGGTATCGATGACAAAATATTATCTTCTTCTAGTTTTAAAGCTAACAATTTAATAGTTAAATATATAAATAATTTTATTTATTTATTAAATAATAATCTATAATTTACTATAGAATATCTTATTATAAAATAGAAACATTTCTCATTATTATAATATCATTATAGTTATAGTTATAACTTATAACTATTATCATAGTTGTCATATTCAGGTGTTTTTGTTGTTGTGTGAAATGAGAAGTTTGATAAATCTTATTAAAACAAACTTTAATTTTATAAAATATCTATTAATTAACATTATTTGCTAACTTGTTATGCCTTGTGATGACAGCGAAGTCATCGATGCAATGGTCATCACAGGTATCCATAGTTTTGTATCCATATTGTAGTCTATTGTATGGCGTGAAGAGTCACATCCATTGCACAAAAATAGTGATACCAAAGCCAATGATGTGGCAAATCAGTACTGATATACAGTACTACTTATTTAGTCGTCTATTATCGCATCGTTAACATTGATAATACATTGTAGACTTAAACTATCAGTACAATTGATACAATCATTGATTGAAGTTGTTTTATGTCAATATATGCAAATATTTTTGTCAGATAATCAAAAGTTTTTTTTAATAAAAAAGCTAATTGACGGATGTAATTAATTAAAAATTTATATCTATAATATTAAAATTGTCAAAACTATAATATATACCAAACAAAACATTAAATTCATTTGTTTTTGAAATATAATTTATATAACAATTTTATTATTTATTGATAATTTATTTATAGGTAATTTTATAATTAAAAAATATATATATTTCATTTATAATTATTATACAAATACAGTATAGAAATTTTGCTGAAATAAAGTTTTTATTAAAATGTTTCGATTAAAATAACACTCTTATCAAAATGATATACATTTGCTGACCGATCATTTTTGCAATTTTTAAATATTGTTGAGTTTATTCAGTTATAATTTTAATTAACACTAAATAAAACTCAAATATATATAAAAATATATTAGAAAATTAAAAATTTAGGAATAATAAAAAATATTAATTAGTTATAGTATTTAATATCCGGTGGGATTGTTGTAATTAGTGTTTGTATAGCCGGTATTATAGCCAGTAGTACCAGTATAGCCAGTAGTACCAGCATAGCCAGTAGTACCAGTAGTACCAGTAGTACCAGTAGTACCAGTATAGCCAGAGGTGTAACCAGGGTTGCTAGAATAACCGCCCGTATTTGTATTGTAATTTGGTGCATTGCCAGGATTTCCCGCTCCATAGCTGTTATAACTACCAGTATTATAACCGGTACCCGGAGAGTTATATGATGGTGTATTGGTGCCATATCCGGGATTAGTATTGTAGCCAATTTGACCAGTATATGTTTGTACTGGATTGCTACTGTAAGTGCCGTATCCAGTGTTAGGGGTGTATGAGTTAGTGTTCCCATATGTTGGGGTATTTCCATACGTTCCGGGAGTACTTCCATAAGGATTGTTAGTATATCCGCCAGTATTGGTGTAACCAGTATTCTGGTTTGAATATCCATATCCAGGGTTAGCATTGTTATAGTTGCTTGAGGTCATACCAGTCATACCCGTTGAGTAATCATTACTATAGCCTCCTATATTGCAAGTAAACTAATATTAAAAATAGTTTATAATATTTATAACAATATACCAGTGTTTGAGGTTCCGTAACTGTTTCCAGGTGTGCCATAAGTATTTGGTGTTGAATAAGTACCTGTAGTTCCATAGCCTACTGAATTGTAACCTCCAGTCTGGGGAGTGTAGCCTCCAGTTTGTGAAGTATAACCTCCAGTCTGAGGAACATAGCTTCCAGTCTGGGGAGTATAGCCTCCGGTTTGAATACCATAACCTCCAGAGTATGTGTTTGGTTGAGAAGAAGTTGGATTACTATATCCGCCAGTATTGTAACTATTAGTGTTATAACCTCCAGTATAACCAGTATATTGAACTGGACCACCGGGGTTAGTATATCCGGCACTATTGTATGGGTTCCCACTATTTGTTCCATAAGAGTTGTATGTACCGGTATTACCATAAGGGTTTCCGTTATCCCCATAACCACCGGAACTGTAAGGATTGCTATTGCCATATGTATTACCGGTTCCATAGTTAGTACCCGGGACACCATAACCGGAATTATTAGTGTTGTAAATTCCTTCTATATTTCGAAGATTAATGCCATTGGATGTGTCGTTAGCGGTCAAAGATGACCCTATGATTTATAATAAATATTAAAATATTTTGATTTTCACAATCTTATGACAAAAAACAATACCAGAATTGTCAGTAACATTTCGTTTTGCAAAGAGTGGTGAAATGGGTGCCGGTTTCGAAACGGGAGATTGAATTGCCTGTTGTTGTTGTTGTTGTCCACCCGGGCCTTGAATTCCACAGACAACATCTACAATAACAATAATTTTTTAATATTTATACTAAAATGTAATATTATATAATATATATATATATATATTATGAATATACGGAATGAGGCCAATGAGATGATGACCAACGATATCACCAAAAGTATCCTCATTTTGTTTTGTCAAAAATCAGTCAAACGGTAGATCCAATCCTTAAGGTGACTCAAACAGCAGTGAACTGATGGACTAATGATGTGGCAAATGCCAGCATTGAAAGAGATAGCAATTGTGTCTTAAATGCAAATTAAAAAAAAGAAAATCTCATCAATTAGTTTTTGTTATCAAAAACATGATTTTTTGTTTAATAAGCAATTTATTTCAATACAATTTTTCTTTAAATATGATGTATAAGTGTTTTAAACTATTTTATATTTAGTGTCTGATAAATCATTTTTTGTATTTAATAAATTTTCTGTATTATTGATCTTTAATATTTATCGTAATTACTTTGTAAAAGATTAATTTTTATATAAATTATATATTATAGTAGTTTATATATAGTTAAATATTACAAATAATTTTTTAATTTAATTTTATAATAACATAAATTGTTTATTTCTTAATTTTAAAGCAACATTTTGAAATGTCAAGTTATCATAAATTTATTTCTCTTATAATTTTAAAACAAATATTTAATAATGTACATTAATATTAATATTGACATTTTAAATAAAATAATTTTACTTTTAACTTATCGTTTTATATCTCAATCAGAATTTATGTTAAACTTTAAAAAAATGTTAATCATTATACAATTATTGTAATTGTTAGCATTTACTTTTTATAGTTTAAATTAAATGCAAAATAATAGTGAATTTTAAAGTAGAAAGTTTTTTATTTGACATCAAAACTTTTTCTTTAAATTTTAAAACTTTTTTTATAGACTATAAAATGTTTTATAGACATAACACTTAAAATAAAAATTACGAGTAAAATAAAAAAAAATTACAAACTTTTTAGTAATTCGTATAAAATTCATTAATGCATTTACACTATGTGTGAAATAAACAGATTTACACCATATTATTATACTTTCTCTACTTTCTAACAAAATAATAAAGTATTTTGCATTTAAATATTGAGACATTTACTGCAGTCTTAACTATTGATAGATTTTTCGTAGACATAAAAAATGTTAGTAATTCCTCAGAGATTTTTTTTGCCTAAAATTTGCATAAATATCATATACTAATAGCATATTAAACAGTCTCTAATTATAATACCAAATTTAATGCTAAATACTGGATTTTATTTGTCAATTATTATAGAAATAGTATAATTTTTTAGTAAAAATTTAAAGTTTTAATAAAAAATGAATTTTATTTTGTTATATTAAATTATTCTTTATATTTTACAAATTTATTGGTCAAGTTTTATATAAATTAATTATATTTATATATATATATATATATATTATATATTATTAATTATTTCAATTTTGATTTAATTGTTTATATAAACAAATAACTTAAAAATTGTTTTATATTTATAATAACAATTAGAACTCATATAATTAGCATGGTGAAAACAATTTGTATAAATAATAATAAATTAAAAACAAATTTCAAAATAAACATATTTGTGACAAATAAAAATTAAATGTAATAATTAATGCATATATAAAAATCTGATCTAAACATTTAAATTAATGATTAATAAACTTATTAGTGTTGTTATATTTACAAATGTGATTTATACAATTATTTAATTAAGTATGACAAGTAAAAAATTTGAATTGTTAAAATTAAATGTAAAAATAGCTTAAAAATCAACTAACACTGAGCTTTAAACTTTAATAAATAGTTGAACTAATTTAATAAACTTAAGTATAATCAAACATCAATGTAAATTAGTAAATATTTTATAAAAACATTAAGCGATTATAATTCATATACATTGATCACAATTTTATAGCTGTACTTTATATTCAAAATAAATTTTGACACTATTATAATTATTTTTATATATTATATACAATTTCTTTCTAAAAACTCTTTCAATTAACCGGTTTCTCATGAAAAATAAAAATTGACATTTTAGACAATTAAACAAAAACTTGAATGGACTTTCACAAAAATGTTTTAAAAATACATTACTTTAAGCTTATAAAAGTTAATTAAATATGAGATTTTGTATTGAATAATATTTTTTAAATAATATAATAATAATATAAAGTGATAAATTCTAATGTTATACTGTATAACTTATACACAATTATATTTAATGAATTTGATTTTATATATTTGACATATATTTGTATAATAATTTATTTGTATATATTTTTATAAAATATTTTTTTATGTCAATGTGTTTGTAAGTATATGTTATAATAAAAATCTTTTAAAAGTTAATATAATAATTAAATATAAAGACTCTAATCCTAAATAACTAGACTTCTGTTCCCTCTAAATGAAAAGGTGCCGGTTCTTCGGCATAGCCTTCATCGGGTGAGTACCGGACCACTGTTGGCTGCACCAGACCGGACCCCTGAGCTACTGGACTCCTTTTCCACTGTTGTTGCTGGAGTGTCGATGTCTGTGGCAGTGGAGACTCTTGAGGCAAATAATGATTCGTCGACGACACGCCATATTGGCCGGCATAACATTGTTGGTCGTATGCCAGTTGTTGACTATGCTGGTCGTCCTCAAAGGTTTCATTATTATAGTTGTGATGATAGTTTGGAGGAAAGACTTGTGCGACTACACTGGCAGGCAGTCCTGTGCAGTAGCCGTCGGCGTCATATACTTCTTGATAGTTATCGTAGTTATAGTTATACTGCTGTTGACCCAAATCGGGTGCCATTTGTTGAAAACTTTGATCACCGACCGATACATGGCTTTGATTTTGATAACTAATATTTGTGGACATGATTTGAGGCGAAAAATTGGTATCAATATATCCATTACCTTTAAAAATATAATTAATTTATAATTAATACAAATGTTTCATTTTATTGTTTAGCAATTAACACTTACCGTTAATATTATTGTGATAACCGTTTAAGTCGAATCCAGTTTTAGTCAGATCTGGAGTCATACCACCTGAACCATAGCCGGAGCTATTGTTACCGTTTTCAGGTTTCTTCTCATTTCCGTCTTTACCAATAACTGTGACATGACTTTTAAGTCCCGACGATTCGCACTTAACTCCAGGCGAAAGATTCTTGAGTACAGATATGGGCGATGGTTTGTCATCGGGTGAATGATGGGCGCGACGGCTTCGGATCAAAAATATTGTCACCAAAACAAATACAAAGACAAGTGATGATAGAACGCCTACAACAGCACCGGCAACTTCGACTTTTGACCAACCGGGCACTACACCAAATGGCAGTGCCATCACAGAAATGGTAAAGTTTTTGGTGGCCACTCCCGCTCGGTTCTCAGCCGAACAGATAAATGATTGGGAATCAGATTCTTCGAGACCAGCGATGGTAAGCATTGAATTTACAATTCCGTCGTTTTTCTCCTCATATAAGAAAAATTTCTCTCCTCTGACCAAATGTGACGACAGATTTCTATAGAAGCCGTCGTCGACATACCTGTTCATTGTTTGAGAAAATAATTGAGAAAAATATATGAATATAAGTGATATTATGTCAAACAATAAAAATAATAATACAATTCATTTGTGTTCAATAAAACAATTAGTGACAACAAAAGCTAAAATAAATAACTGATAGAAAAAAGGTTATAAATGTTTCAATTGACTGACCAAAAAATCTTTGGTTGAGGAAGTCCTTTGACAACACACGATAGAGTGGCGTTTCCGCCAACATATTTGGTGACCTCAGTGACAGTGCTGATGATATCGGGAGCGCAGGCAAAGTCGTCCACATCTAATGAGTTCCACATAAGACCCGAAACCCGTTGAGGTGTCTGACAGGTGGGTGGTATAGATTGGGGAACATTGTTTCGAAGCATCCATTCCCGGGAACCTCTTAGATCACAATCACAATTCCACGGATTTTTGTGCAAATCAAACGAATAGAGTGGCGGCAGATCGCTGACCACCGTTACCGACAATGTTGTCAAACGATTGTTATCCAGTTTGAGAAATTCCAGTCTATCCAGACCTCGAAAAGCTCCCGGTTCTATCAAATCTATTTGTGATCCTATTTTGTATAAAATTTAAATATTAATCAATATTATTTAATAATTAATTTTGTGGTAATTTATTGAATACCTGACAGATCTAATGATTTTAATCCATTTAATGAGATAAATGCTTCCGATTTGATCACTTGTATGGGATTCTGATTGAGCTGAAGTCGACGCAAATTAAAGGCGTCTTTTAGGGCACGGGTGGGCACTTGGGTCAGCAAATTGTCGCTCAGATCTAACTCAATCAGATTTGTCAGTTGAGTGAAGGCGTCGTCGGCTATGACTCCGAGTTTGCATTCGGCGAGAAATACCTTCTGTAAGTTAATGAGTCCTCTTTCCTGAAACACTTTAGACGGAAGTATTTGAAAGTTGTTTTTATTAAGATTGAGTACTTGAGTGCCCGAAGATATACCCGACGGTATTGATATGAGTGACTGTTTCTCACAAAGTGCCGTCTGTTTTCCGTTTCGCCAAATGCAAGAACACATCGATGGACAGGTATTGGTGGCCATTGTCTTTGGTGTCAGTTGTGAAACAGTTGTTAAGATCATATAAATTATGAACATTGATATCAGTCTATATTGTTTGGCCAATTGAGTCCGGCATACGACCGGCTTCATTGGTATCAATAGGGACGACCACATTGAGTACAAGGTTTGAGTTGAAGACATGTTTGATTTGAATGACTTAATTTGATTTCGTGTAATAAGTATTTGTAAAAATTTGTGCTTTTTTTCTTTAAAATGTTTGCTTGAGTTCACAATTTACTTATAAGTAAAAAACTTCACTTTCTTTAAAAGTTATTTAAAACCAACGATGAGATGAAAAGCGATTTCTTTCTAGTTTTTTAATAAATATAACTTATATATAATATAAACCCTTATTTGTTATATTTATAAATATGTGTTTTACGGCTCAAATCTTTTTGACGAAAAATCCAATTTTCACTTCCAATATTTATATATATATAAAATATAGACCTAAAAATTATTTTATTATTTACTTTTAATACATATAGACTTCTATTTATTTAAAAAGTATATATATATTGTCAAAAAAAACTTCTTCATCAGTAAAAAGTTACACTTCCGTGAAAAAGGGTTTTTCTCTTATATTATCAGTTATAGAGAAAAAATATTGTTGGAAATCAATTTATTTGTTTATTATTTAATAGTATATTAAATGAACACATCGACGACACTAAGCACTTGTAGTTGTTTTTAACCGAAACTTTTGATTATAAACTTTCGGTGAATTCAATATTATTATTATTGCGGTGTTGTTTGTGTCGATACTTATGCGCTAACAATAAGATGCGACAGATATTTATCTGTCACTATCAATATATAATCAGTTGAATAGATTTTCTCTCCAAAAAATATAGATACCGGTGCTTCTCAATGGTATTAACGATCGTAATATGATTAGCTTCAGAAGCTGTTTGTCGTCAAATATGTCATCAAATTAGGAAAACCAGCAAAAATAAAGATAATATTTCTTCTGTTGTTTCATACGTATTGTATTTAATATTTGCTTTTTTTTATTTATTAAATAAATTTTTGCTAATTTTCTTTGTAGTTAAGCTGAGCGTAGAATTGATTTTCTTTTCTTTATTATTAATAATGTTTTGATTTCCTTATGTTATATATCGTGATATCTTTAGAAAAAATATATAAAAAAATAATATATTGATTATTAGGAAACACTCAATGATTATTACGTTTACATTAAAAATATAATCTTAAAGTTAAAAATATATATACTTTATATAAATTTACAATATATACAGTAATACAGTAACTGTATTATGCTATGCTATGCTATGATATTATTATTATTGTATAAACAAAGTACTGTATAAAAATAATACTATCAAAAAATATTGAATTTATTTTGTACCGACACTTATGAAAAAGTCACGAATTCACGTAAAATTAATCAATATTTAATTTTATGCCAAAAATTTAAATTATAAACTGATTTTTATAATTTAATGACCAGACAATTCAATGTCTTATAGTAAAAAATATATATATATTGTTATATATTTATAAATCGTGAAAATTACATCCAATAAATAACATCTATTTTAATAAAATATTTGTTATAATTTATTAAACTAGTTTAATTAAAATCAATTACATTTTACAACATTAAATTAAGTTATTGTTGGAGAAAACACGATAATAGCTAAAAGCAACAAATTTCTAATACATTTTTATCTGCTGACCAATTATTTTATTAATAAGGACAGGTAGTCAGTCTATCACACAAAACAATGATAAAATTATAATAGGATTAACATATTTGAAATGCTAAATACTGTACAATCGTATCATATGATTCATAATAGGAAAAGTATTTTTTCAAATGAAAAGCATTGCATTCACTGTATTAGACCTTGACTTCAATGACTTAACTCCTTATGTTTTTGTATAAACAAAATACAAATCGCAAGCAATATATCAGAAGTTTTGCTTATTTTTTCTGATTTCCAAATAATTTGCTTTCAATAACTAAATAAATTGATAAATAATAGCTGTGTTTGAATCATGTCTTGTTGAGTGATATTAAACAGACAATTACTAAATATAATAATTAATTTCTTTATATATGTTAGTCTATTACAAAAACATTAGATATAAGATAAATTAATTATTTTTATTAATATTAAATTAAACTATTGATATAAAGTAACAATATCTTTGACCAAAATAAATATAAATATTGACATTATTAAACAACTTTCTTTATGTATATTAATTTTTTAGTTATTTTTTATATAAATTAATAGCAAATTTCATAAATTAATAATTCCATTCATAATATTTATTATTATTTTAACTATAAATATTATATTACTGTAGTTTTTATTAATTTAGTATACAATAATACTATATATTTTTTAAAAACATTAGCATCAGATTAAATAAAATAAATGTTTATGAAACATATAAAGCTATCAAAAAATGTGATTAATTATAAATCACATAAAAATTGTCATATAATATAAACTAATGTTACATAAGTAGTCAATTAACAGTAAACTAAAGGCATTTATATAGTGAGAAAAAAAACAATAATAACATAACATTATAACAACATTCAGTTATCTGTTTAGCAATGAATGAAATAAAAAGAAATAAATTAATGAAATGACAACAAAATAATAGTACATTAAAAGCATTTATTTTATTTATTTATTTATAAACCAAAATAAATTTAATTTAATGTCTATTACATACAATTATTTACAATTTAAATGTATATACAAATTCTATAAATATGTATATTACAAAATACATAAAAAATTGAATAACAACAATATATAAATACTGTAAAAGTTATACAACTAATGCATGATAAAATAGCTGACAAAAATACTGTACTGTATATTTGATTATACATTACAACAAGTATTGCATTAAAAGCGCCGATAAATTGCTATTTAATTAACGTTGAATTAATTTGAACACACGTTCAGCATTAAGCCTAATGAACCTCAAATGCTTTACCCTAATGTTAAAACATGTTGTTTTGTGTTATATATATTATAAAAATATTTCATATTTAAACTATCGTTTAAAGACTAATGGCTATTAAAAATATAATCACTTTTCAATTACCAATTTTATAAATATACAGTACGTGTAATACACATTGTGTAAAATTTATATACAATATATAGATTGAATATACAAAGTTTGTATCACAAACTTTAAAAATTAAGGAAAATCGTCGAAATATTTATTTACTATTATTTTTATTAATAGGTATATTACTATTTTAATCTATACAGTATAATTAACAATACTCTTGTGATATCGTTTATTAGTAAAAATTATAAATAACACATTAATAGAAAAAATAAATTGCAAAATTGGGATTTTTCTTTGAAAATTACATGTGAAAACCCAATCAAATACAATTGCTTATTCAATAGTAAATTGCTTTGGGGGAGGTGGGGGTCAGTTAATGTTAAATAATAGATTGGGTGGACATATATAGTATTTAAGTAACAAGAAACGTAACACCATTGTTATGGTGATGAATAAACGGGTAAACCATATATGATTGCTGGTGGTTGTGGTGCCGGCACTGATAGATAGATAATTGTGTAGTGATGTGATGTGATGTGAGAATTGCGTGAATACTATTTGAATAGACATTTCGAGTTTTGTGAAATCATTTTGTTACTATTGTTAAAAAAGTATTTACATTCATAAACTATGGGCACATACAGTACCATACGGTCATACCTACAGTACACTACATTTTGGTGTAGTTTCTGAACTCAAGTCATGAAAGAAACATCATATTTAAATGGTATCCCAAAAAACACAATATACCGGAGCTGTTGTTAATGTCTTTATGCCGGTTCTCTGGCTATTAATTTAATGTTAACACCAATGTTTAAAATTATAATTATTAAAATGTCTATTGTTTATTATAGCTAGAATTTTTTATATTTTTTAGTAATTTTAAAAACGACTGCATAAAAATGTAATTTAATAATTGAATTAAATTGAGTGAAACAAAGTAGGATTTAATGAATGTTTATAAAAATTGATTACATTTGCTAATAGAGAGGAAAACAGTAATAATTAATTTGAATTAAAGCCATAATTAGATCAACACTGAAAACATACTGGCTTTAGGTCACTCATTAAAATTTATATTAACACCAATTTATATGCAGTAAAATTGTAATATAAATAAATATAAATATTTTGATTACAATAGTATGGAGTTCGTTAAACTTTAATTATTATAACAATAATTTCATATTTAATAATAATTAATACAATTGTGAAAACATTTATATAATAAAAACAAAGAAAAATTTTAATTATTGTTATTATTATTTAATATTCAGTTAATCAAAAAACAAAAATATAATGCTATAATTATTTGAGACAAAATAATTTCAATTTATATGTACATCATTAAACCATTTATACAAAAGTTTAGGTCCAATAAATGATAAAATTGCAAATAAATATTAACAACCGGTTGATTATATATATATATTATATATAACTAGTCTTTACTATAATAATAAACTTCTTAAAAATCTCCATAATATGGTTTTAGCACTGATTTTGATTTTCAGGGAAATAGTTGTGTGGATGTCATACAAGCACTGGGAATATTTAGGAATGACCCGACATTTATCACTAGTCTAATAGCTTTTATATTATATAACTCTGTATTCCCTAAATAACAGTCCACTCTATTTAATAGATAGTCATAACACACAATAACAACATAAAACAACCTGTTATATGATAATTTAAAATTTGATCTTCACAATAAAATTAATTTAAAAATCTATATTTTTATTTAACAAATATATAAGTAAAATATAATTAATCGACAATATTAATAAAATTAAAAAAATCAATATATAAAAACTAACGTAAACTTCAAGATAAATATAATATCGTCTAATATAATAGCCTTATGTCCGGTGTTCGTTGGGTTGCGGAGTAGAGGGATAAAGTACGTTGCATATTATAAACTACACACAAAAATTATTTTCAGAAATAAAGCATCAAAAATGAGATATGGGGATCAGTATTGAAATTTTGATATTTTGTCAGAGCATAGCATAAGATATAGAAAATGGCGGCCAAGTTAAAAAAATTTTAGGTAAAAATTTTTGAGTATAGATTTGAATAAAGCATCCAAAACAGGAATAAGATATCACTATTTAAATTTTGATCTCTTCAGGAACAGAAAAAATGGCGCCAAAGTAAAAATAGGTAAAAATTTTAACCTTTACAATTGCAGAGCATCAAAAATAA